AGAATATACTGACATTTTTTTTGTCAGACTATGACATTTTTTGACAGACTATACTATGACATTTTTGACAGACTGTACTATGGCATTTTTTGACAGAATATACTATGACTTTTTTTTTGACATACTATGACATTTTTTGACAGAATATACTATGACATTTTTTTCAGACTATGACATTTTTGGACAGAATATACTACGACATTTTTTTTGACAGACTATACTATGACATTTTTTGACAGAATATGCTGACTTTTTTTTGTCAGACTATGACATTTTTTGACAGACTATACTATGACATTTTTGACAGACTGTACTATGACATTTTTTGACAGAATATACTATGACATTTTTTTTGACAGACTATACTATGGCATTTTTTGACAGAATATACTATGACATTTTTGACAGACTACTATGACATTTTTTTACAGACTATACTATGACATTTTTTGACAGACTATGGCATTTTTTGACAGAATATACTATGACTTTTTTTTTGACATACTATGACATTTTTTGACAGAATATACTATGACATTTTTTTTCAGACTATGACATTTTTTGACAGAATATACTACGACATTTTTTTTGACAGACTATACTATGACATTTTTTGACAGAATATGCTGACTTTTTTTTGTCAGACTATGACATTTTTTGACAGACTATACTATGACATTTTTGACAGACTGTACTATGGCATTTTTTGACAGAATATACTATGACATTTTTTTTGACAGACTATACTATGGCATTTTTTGACAGAATATACTATGACATTTTTGACAGACTACTATGACATTTTTTTACAGACTATACTATGACATTTTTTGACAGACTATGACATTTTTGACAGACTATACTATGACATTTTTTGACAGAATATACTATGACTTTTTTTTGACAGACTATACTATGACTTTTTTCTTTAACAATTTTTATTGATTTTACATTAAACAGCATACATTCGTTCACAACATACACGTCATTGCATATAGGAAAATAATAGCATAGTAGCTGTAACACTCAAATACTTACAAGTATGTAAGATCATACTATGACTTTTCTGACAGACTATACTATGACATTTTTTGACAGACTATACTATGACTTTTTTGACAGACTATATGACATTTTTTGACAGACTATATTATGACTTTTTTTTTTTGACAGAATATACTATGACATTTTTTTGACATACTATACTATGACATTTTATGACATACTATACTGTGACATTTTATGTTATACTATACTATGACATTTTATGACATACTATACTATGATATTTCATGACATACTATAATATCACTTTTTCATGACTTTTTTTTTTAGCATACAGTACTTTCTAACAAATGCCTTTAGAAGCACAACGAGGTGGAACATGTTTTTTTTCCACAGACTTGTCTTATGTACTACTGTATGGATGTAGAAACAGCTTGAGCAAATATGTTATATATATATAAAAGTTGTTTTTATAAAAACTCACCTGTCAGCTTTAACTAACAAGGGAAATTTTGGGTTGAATAAATAAATTATTGCTGCATAATAACAGAAATGCTCTTAAGCAAGGCACAACAGTTTTGAGGAGCTATGAAGACTGGCAGCACTTCGCTGAAATTTATTTGACTTTAAAAATGAAGTAGTGTAGGGCTGAAAAATGAAATTTATCTGTATAAATAATACCTTTTGTAGTTAATCTTTAGTTAAAGTAAACAATTTCCTCCTTCACATTGTTTCAGATAGATGAACAATAACATTGGTACTGGTCAGTGTTTTTTGTCTGTTTTGCAATATTTATTCAGGTGTAAATTTTCTCATCACTAAATAAATATGGTAAGCCATATGATAACCTCACAACAGCTGTATTCTCTTAGGAGGAAATTACATTCATATTTCCTTACTGTTGCAGGCGGGCCAGACAGCGTTGATGCTAGCTGTTAGCCATGGTCGGCAGGAGATGGTGCGGGCACTGCTGGAGTGTGGCGCTGATGTTAACGTGCAGGACGACGAGGGATCCACAGCTCTCATGTGTGCAAGTGAACATGGCCGTGCTGAGATCGTCAAACTGCTCCTGGAACAGCCTGGTTGTGACATATCCATTGTTGATAATGTAAGGCATTAACATTTAGCTAATGCACTCACTGAGGGAAACTTTAAGTAACTTACCCTGAGCTTACAGATGAAGCCAACTGTTGGATCTCTGACTGCTGAAAATATCTGAGCACTTTTTTGTCTGGGATTCAGCTTAATCTGTTCTCAGGAAACGGCGCCTCATGGGAAATAGTTCTCTGCAGTTTCCTCTCCTTGTCACCTCTTTTTCTGCCTCTCTTCTTTCGTGTTTTTCTTTGTTAGCACGGACAGGCTGAGTGCTAAAGAGCCATGATCAGATTAGTTTCATCTGCCTTCTACTGAAATCAGTGCTGTTTACAGGAAGCACAATCACTGGGCTACTCAGAAGCCCCCAGGGGATGAATTAAAAAGCCATAACTCCTGTGTTCACATTTGTAGACTTGCAGATTTCAGACAACATGCCCTGCAGACTCTTGCACCAGTCTTCTGCGTACTTCACCACATGCTCTAAGTCAGCAGCAACTATTAATGTCCTAACAACAAAAAAGGTGGAAAAAGTCCATTAGTAATTTCTTTTAGACTCTAAAAGCTTCAGACTTTTATGATTTTGTCATCCAGTTGACTTGTATTACGCAACAAATCCAAAAATCCATTAAATTGTTATAGGGTTAGTGCATCAGTCTGTCAGTATGATCATTTCCTTTTCTCAAACAGCAGAATGCTTACCCTGGAACAAAACTCCTCTCACTGCTGCTTGTGACATTTTTTTGTTTCGTTTTTTGTTAATCTGCACAGCCGAGTGCTTTAAAGCGATTTTACAGAGGATTGGTATGGATGCTTGAAGAAAGGCCAGGCAGACAGATATTTGAGCATTCACATCTGTGCCACGAATGAGTTGGCCATTCAGTGCAGGCAACTCCTGGATTGTGTTTCAGTGCAACACAGCTGGATGGAGAGGTAGACTAAGGGGGAGGGTGGGGGGGGCTGACTATTGCTGTCCTCTGAAAACACAGAACAGAATGACAAACATGACTGTGAGACACAGTGGAGTTACATGTCAAAAAAAAAAAATAGTGCTGAACCTTTTTTATTTCATGTATTCTTTTAACTGGAAGTGTGAGGATACACAACTGTCGGTTTGGTACTCTATAAATGAAATTTCTGTCTAATTAACGTTGTCTTAAATGGTCTACGTCTGTGTGGAAAATAAACGCCATCATATTAGAGTTCCACTTGGAAAGCTTGTTAGCTACACCACGCCATGCAGGTTAGCCCCCTGGATGTATAGCTCATACAGTGAACGCAAATGAGAAACTGGAAGAGTCTGCAAATTAAGGCCCAGACACACCAAATTGACATCAAAGACCTAGTGGCGCCAAAGGCCAAAGTTGCACAAGAACACACCGCAAAGACTACAGCCAGTGGCCAACTATTACGTACATTCTGCGCCTGTTTGAGAGGAAGTAACTCTCCACACCAGCAGGTGGGCAGTAGTGTGTATTCGTCATTCAAAAAGGGAAACTGGAAGACTGCCAGGATTTACTGTGTGCTAGTGAACAATTACGCAAAAAAATTAAGAACTGTTTTTGCTAAAGAGCTCAATGGTTAAAAACACAATTTTACCCAATATAACAAGTTTGCTTTGATCTCACGCCCTCTTGACTCTAGCTTTTTGTTTGCTTTCCTCACTTTGTGTTTCTGTTGCCATGCACTAACCTGAACTGCCAATCAGAGTGATTTCACTCACTGATGGGCTCTGCCAGGTCTGACACTGATTAAACGTGCTGAATTGGCTGAAAAAGAGCCGGCAGGGCCAACTAGTGCCTATGGTGTAGGGCATGCAGCAAAAACTGGGACGATGGGTGCTCACCATCGGCCTGATATTAACGCACAGCTGACCGTCGGCTTGGTGCATCAGGGCCCTTTGATCTCGTTTCGGTTTCTCAGGAAGTCGTGGCTACAGTTAGCAAAAGTGGAACAGACGAAAACTATGTTCTAACCTGTTGAAAGGTAATTGAATGAATTTATTTCTCTAAAAGCAGAGACAATCAAACAGACTAAACCACTCCCAACTGCTCCAATTAATGCGTCTGTTTATTTACGTGTACAATTCAGTCTGTTGTGTGTGTCCTACAGCTGCAGTCGTGCTCACTACTGATATCAGTATTTGAAATTAAAGAAAACAAAAACATATCGGTTAACATATCGACCAATATTACATAACTAAATAACCTAAACAGACATTTTGATTCAATAGTTGAAAAAAATGTACTGAAAATGTACTAAACCCTAAACTGAGTTATGTACCTAACTGTAAATGTATGCACCTTTTCACCTCTAATTTTAACTAGAGAAATTTGCATGGATGGCAGAAGATTAAATTGTCGAATAAGATTCAGTTTCTGGTTTTTCAGCATAACATGAAACCATATTACTTCTTACCAATAGTTTTTATAGGGTCTAAATCACAGGATTGCTCACTGTGGATTCAAGTCCTGCTTGACGTGTTTGCTTTTGTAATTGCACTTTCTCTGCTATTACATCAAAGAAATCCTGAAGATGTAGGGCGTGTGAATGTCCTGCTTGTTTATTGTCCAATCAAGGATGCATGACAGTGACATAACAGATTGGAATGAACAAGTTGTCCCAACATCCATCATAAGACTGATGTAACATGGTCCATCTCAAACTATGAAGCTCTCTGTTCTCTTATGTTTTTATTAAACTCACTTTTACTCTCTCTGCCCTCCCACTCTTTCTGTCTCTCCCTCTATCCTCTGTCTGTAGGATGGCAGCAATGCTCTGTCAATCGCACTGGAGGCGTCTCACAATGACACAGCTGTACTGCTCTACGCCCATATGAACTATGCAAAGACCCAGCCTGCTGTGGTGAGTCCACCATCCGACCCACTGTCTCCTCTGTGGAGAATTGATTGGGTAGTCACACTTGTAAAAGTATTAAAAAACAGTGACATAACAAAACAAAGTTCAAAATATGGCCTACCTCATGGGAAAGTCACCTTTAGTTTTAATGCGGACTTGTCGTGTTCTGTTTTTTATCTTGTTAGAACTGTCTGGGAAAAAAAGAAAGAATATATTTCAACATTTGGAGTCAAGAGTTCACTTTTCAGATGGCCGTGGTTCATTTTTGGGTTTACAAGCTGAAAGGTCAGAAAGCCACCAGCTTTAGATCAGCTGGGAAATGGCATGCAAGCAGGCTGAAGTCTGTGCAGGTCAAACTTACAACATAGCTGTACAGTGAGCAACGTCTGTTGTATTTAAAGTGGGTCGGATCAGTTCCTCGGCTGCGCTCCAAGCTGCAGTTTGGGTGTGGGCAGCACTGACTGAAGGTGCACTGCTGCCCCCTATAGGTGTTACTAAGCCTCTGTGGATTGTGTTTTCTGGTGAGACAGAAAACCGTATATTTTATCACTACAAAAACATCCCCATTAAATTAATCTAAACTTACAATGTCAATACAAATTAGGTACACTAACAGTCAATACAGAAGAATTTCCTTCAAGACTGAATGGCTCTTAACCTTAAAATATAATCCATGGCAGAGCAAAATAATTATTTTAACGTCATTTAAACCATTTTCTTCACATTGTGTGTTTCAGGGGAGTCCGAAGGCTCAGCCGAAGAGCCCCAGCAGCCCCAGTAAGTCTTGGCCTTCAGACTGAAAGGATCATGGCCACTCACATTGACGGACAGACCAGCAAACATAACTGGATCTGAGCTGTGAAAAGCTCCACTGGAATTTACCTAAATATATATGTATTTATATATTGCCATATGTCCTGCATTTATAAGTATTGTTAATATGAGAATATTATTTTTCCATAAAGCCATGAATGGTTATATAATATACTTGACTAATAAGAGCTCCTGGCTTGTCTAAATGAGGTCTCTGGCACTCGTTTTTTTCCCGTGAGAGGAGATGAGACCTTTACATTTATTTGCACTTCACTAATATTTTTACTGTTAAGGGCAACACACACCGCGGGGATGTGATACACATAAAAAAAACAAAACCTTGCAACTATAATTTTCCATGTAAGCCCACACACTGTTATAATAAAATGTGTCAAGACACATCACTGTTTTATAATAAAGTGTAGACGCTGAAGATAATTTATTTTATTGGTTCCCTGAATTGGCAAATCCTGGCTACACATTCTTGACTACTTCTGTCTGCATGTGAGGTGTGTACTGTAGATATCACATGACATGACACAGCCAGTGTGTGTTGCTCTCTGGTCTTCCCTTTCTGTCCTGCCTTGGTTAACTGATCTGTGAACCTCTTCACCTTCATAGTCTGCACTAACTGTGCATTGTATGTTCATATAAATATATACGTAAAAATATATATATATATATTCATGTCTGAAATAAACATATTTACATAAAAATTGATGGAATGTGGTTGTTCATGAAGGATTGCAAACATTTTTTTTTTTTTTTTTTAAAGCAGTTTTTACAGAGTCAAAATATTGTTGGCCAAAAGAGGTCATAGTATAGTAAGCCATAAAAAGTCATAATATAGTATGCCATACGGAAGTGGCTGGGGAGAGGACTGTCTGGGCTTCTTTGCTGAGGCTGAGGCTGAGGCTGCTGCCCCCGCGACCCGGACCCGGATAAGCGGACGACGAGGACGAGGACAAGGGCCATAAAAATATCATAAACATCTTAGTACAGTATGCAATAAAATGCCATATTGTTGTCATGAGAAGTCATAAAAATGTCATAGTATAGTATGTGATGAGAAATTTAAAAAAGTCATTAGTATAGTATGTGACAAAAAGTAAAAGTAAAAAAAAAAAAGTCATACTGTCATAAAAGTCACAAAAAAGTCATAGTATAGAATTCCATAAAAAGTAAAAAAAAAAAAAAAAAAGTCATAGCATAGTATGCCATAAAAAGTAAAAAAAATGTTATAGTATGTCATATGAAGTCACAAAAAGTCATACTATAGTATGCCATAAAAAAAAAAATCACAAAAAAGTCAAAGTACAGTATGCCATAAAAAGTAATAATACGTTGCCATGAGAAGTCATAAAAAAGGTATAGTATGTATCAAAAAGTAAGAAAAAATTGTCATAGTATAGTATGCAAAAAAGCCATAGTATAATTTACTATAAAAATATGACAAACATCTTAGTATTGTATGCCATAAAAAGTCATAGTATAGTATGTGACAAAGTGAAAAAAATGTCATGGTATAGTATGCAAGAAAAAGTTTTAAAAAAAGTCATAATATAGTATGTCATAAAGAGTAAAAAAAAAGTCATAGTATAGTATGTCAAAAAAGTCACAAAAATGTCACAGTATAGAACGCCACAAAAAGTAAAAAAAAAAAAAAAAGAAAAGAAAAAAGTCATAGCATAGTATGTCATAAAAAGTAAAAGAAAAAGAAAAGAAAAAAGTCAGTATAGTATGCCATAAAAAGTCCTAAAAATGTCATAGCACAATATGCAATAAAAGGTCATAAAAAAGTCACAGTATAATATCCCAAAAAAACTGCCTGGACACATCCCTTACTCTCTTAAACAGCATACAGAAGTAGTTCAATCACTCTAATGCTTGCAAGGAAAGTCATCATGGTGAAATGGGTCGGAGACGAACCTCCTTCTGTTTCTATGTGGAAATCTTTGGTTTCTGAGGTTATCACTCTGGAGAAAACAGGACATTGTATTGATGTCATGGTATATTATGTGACAAAAAGTAAAAAAGAATGTCTTAGTATAGTATGCCAAAAAAGTCTTAGTATAATTTGTTATAAAAGTCATAAAAATGTCATACTATAGTATGCCATAAAAATATCAAACATCTTAGTATAGTATGCCATAAAAAGTCACAGTATAGTTGCATTGAGAAGTCATAAAAATGCCATAATTAGTATGTGACAAAAAGTCACAAAAAAGTCATAGTATACAGTACAGGCCAAAAGTTTGGACACACCTTCTTATTCAATGTGTTTTCTTTATTTTCATGACTATTTACATTGTAGATTCTCACTGAAGGCATCAAAACTATGAATGAACACATGTGGAGTTATGTACTTAACAAAAAAAGGTGAAATAACTGAAAACATGTTTTATATTCTAGTTTCTTCAAAATAGCCACCCTTTGCTCTGATTACTGCTTTGCACACTCTTGGCATTCTCTCCATGAGCTTCAAGAGGTAGTCACCTGAAATGGTTTTCCAACAGTCTTGAAGGAGTTCCCAGAGGTGTTTAGCACTTGTTGGCCCCTTTGCCTTCACTCTGCGGTCCAGCTCACCCCAAACCATCTCGATTGGGTTCAGGTCCGGTGACTGTGGAGGCCAGGTCATCTGCCGCAGCACTCCATCACTCTCCTTCTTGGTCAAATAGCCCTTACACAGCCTGGAGGTGTGTTTGGGGTCATTGTCCTGTTGAAAAATAAATGATCGTCCAACTAAACGCAAACCGGATGGGATGGCATGTCGCTGCAGGATGCTGTGGTAGCCATGCTGGTTCAGTGTGCCTTCAATTTTGAATAAATCCCCAACAGTGTCACCAGCAAAACACCCCCACACCATCACACCTCCTCCTCCATGCTTCACAGTGGGAACCAGGCATGTGGAATCCATCCGTTCACCTTTTCTGCGTCTCACAAAGACACGGCGGTTGGAACCAAAGATCTCAAATTTGGACTCATCAGACCAAAGCACAGATTTCCACTGGTCTAATGTCCATTCCTTGTGTTTCTTGGCCCAAACAAATCTCTTCTGCTTGTTGCCTCTCCTTAGCAGTGGTTTCCTAGCAGCTATTTGACCATGAAGGCCTGATTCGCGCAGTCTCCTCTTAACAGTTGTTCTAGAGATGGGTCTGCTGCTAGAACTCTGTGTGGCATTCATCTGGTCTCTGATCTGAGCTGCTGTTAACTTGCCATTTCTGAGGCTGGTGACTCGGATGAACTTATTCTCAGAAGCAGAGGTGACTCTTGGTCTTCCTTTCCTGGGTCGGTCTTCATGTGTGCCAGTTTCGTTGTAGCGCTTGATGGTTTTTGCGACTCCACTTGGGGACACATTTAAAGTTTTTGCAATTTTCCAGACTGACTGACCTTCATTTCTTAAAGTAATGATGGCCACTCGTTTTTCTTTAGTTAGCTGATTGGTTTTTGCCATAATATGAATTTTAACAGTTTTAACAAAAAAAAGTCATAGTATAGTATGCCATTAAAAGTCACAGAAAAGCCATAGTATACAATGCCATAAAAAGTAAAAAAAAAAATGTCATAGTATAGTATGCCATAAAAAGTTAAAAAAAAAAGTCATAGTATAGTATGCCATAAAAAGTAAAAAAACAAAAAGTCATAGTATACAATGCCATAAAAAGTAAAAATAAATGTCATAGTATAGTATGTCATAGTATTATTTGTTAGTCTGTTCGAGTCCAACCCGTGGCCCTTTGCTATGTGTCAAACCCCCTCTCTCCCTCCTTTCCTGTCACTCTCCAGCTTTGCTATAAAACAGACAAAAACCTCTCAAAAATAATCTTTAACAAAAGAAAAAGAAAAAAAAGACCAGCATTCTTCTGAAGCACAAGACAGTCAGCAGGGTGAAGGTTGACCTTGTGTTGAACTGTGACATAGAGCGTGAACCCAGGACTCTGAAATTAAAGTCAGCACTCTGTACACCCAGTCTGACCTACACGCCTGGATATCACACTACTCCCTGCATCGGAACTAAATGTCACCAACAAATGTGTATTGTAAAGATGCAACGATACAGAATTTCAATAATCATCTATTTGTTGTGGTGGATACTGATACAACAACCGATGACCCAAATCTAGAAAGATTTAGGGTCTGGCTATGAGTAAAGAAAATGGCCCAACTCGTGGGGCACCAAGCATGCATTTGAAAATATCACTGCACAGAATTGGATAACACTACAACCAATCAGAACAATACATGGGGTGATGTATCCAGAGCGCTACCAGCGGAGCTAACTGGTAGATTAGACTCTTGCCCTATCCGGTCGGCAAAACAGCCTAACTCGTTCATTGTAGCGGCCACACCAGTTGTTTGAAACAAACAACTGGTGTTCATCCGTAGCCATCTTGCAATGTTTACTGACTGATTCCGGACTTCGTCGTTGCAGCGCTGTCGTCATCTGTTTAGCTCGCCTCTGGCCCGCCTATATCAGATACACCGATGTGATTGGTGCAGCTCGGCTCCAACGGCATGAGTAATGAGCATCATTACTGATTGCCAGAGTGACTCGCAGAGCAAATTCAAATTGTGCTCTTGCATCAACTCTGGATTTCCAGGGTATTGTGGAGCATCATGTCCAACATAAAACTGAGTGAGCTTGCTTTGGTAGACTGACAATTTTTCCAAGTATCCAAAGGAAATTTACTGGGTCCCAAGAAGTTTGTGTAAAAGATCCACATGGTATCTAAAATGACATTTTCTATGGCCAGATGATAACAGATTCACAAGGCTGACAGTGACAGATATTTAGGAGTTATATGCTGAAGAAATAGCTGATGATGCTATATTGACACACAGTCATTTCTGTCATTCAGCTTATTTTCACCGTAGACAAAGGCTTTACAAGCACGTTAATGCTTGCATGTGAGCGAAGTCTATGACCTCAAACCAGAGCGTGGAACGTCCATTCAAACTCAAATCACAGGATCAGTCAAATGCTGTTTCATGACATCTGATGCAAGGGGATTTGGAATTGATTTGTGTGGTGATTTGATACCTTGTCACTGAAAAATCAGAAAATTATTCACATAATTAAACTTTGCATGGGTGTCTTGAGGCTTCAGTGATGCTGTAGCCTTAGGGCACCACATCATGGTATAAAAACCAGAGTGTACATTCTGCAACCATCGAGGCAACAGCGTACCACAGGGCCTATCTCACTGTATCCAGCAGTAGCCTCTCTTTGACTGACAGCAGAGCAAGAACCAAAATGGAGTCTCACCTGGGTTCAGAGATGAATAAAGAAGGTGACGAGTACCTGGACATGTGCGACCATAATGGTTTGGGCCAAGAAGAGAACTCCAAGAACTCTGAAGATGTAGACAAACTGTCTCACATTAAGAAGGCTTATACCATCATACTGAGTGAGCTGGGAGAGGACATCAACCGGGAGGGACTTTTACGTACACCACTACGTGCAGCCAAAGCCATGCAGTTCCTCACTAAAGGCTACAAAGAAACGCCTCAAGATGGTGATGGATTTTCTTTCTTTATCTCGTTAAAAACTTTCAGTGGTGCTAACTTGATCTGAATTTCAATATCAATCAATCAATTTGTGATAGGAAATCATAGATACGGTTCTGGGCAACTTTCAAATGTCAAGACGTTTTGTCTCATGTCGAATTCATGACACAATAAAAGTTCATAACTTGTATTATTTCTTTTTGCTAAATACTCCTCATTGATGGATATACAGCATATTCTTTTGATTTTTTAACTTTTCGCTCCAGTGTAATACAGAATGTAAAGATCACATCTAATCCACAGATATCTTAAATGACGCAATCTTAGACGAAAACCACGAAGAGATGGTGATCGTGAAGGACATTGAGCTGTTTTCTCTCTGTGAACATCACCTGGTGCCCTTCTTTGGCAAGGTAACTACTTAGGATACCCGGATTATGTAAAAACAATAGGTCAAATTCAATACAGAATATCTGATAAAAATCTACTGGCTAATATTTGTTTCATAACATAAACACAGACATATTATTGAAAAGGATCCCTCAAATTTAAAAAGCTGAGACCAGAATTGTTACTGAGAAAGATATTTTACAGTTTTACAGTTTTATCTGTGATAAGCGTAAACCAATTGACGATACTGGCCCATGTCTAATGACTACTTGTCGATACTATGTTTTTATACATGTATTATGTATAAAAATGTATATGTATATTATGGACAATATTTTAATTTATATTTCATGATATAAATGTTTCAGGCTCACATAGCGTACCTCCCAAACAAGAAAGTGGTTGGCCTAAGCAAGCTTGCTAGGTAGGTGGTTTATACACACACACACGCACACATACATACACAAATCAAAGTATTATACTACACTGATATATTAAACACTTATGTCTTCATTTGCTTTATTTTTTCTCCTAATTTCTTTATATTTCTGTGTCAAATGTTATGTGTTACTTTCTCCACAGTTCAGGAGCGTCTCACCAAACAGATTGCCTCAGCCATCTCTGAAGCGCTGGAGCCTGCCGGAGTAGCACTGGTGATTGACACTGTGTAAGTATCATGTGTGGGGAAAAAAATCTATACAGCGTAGCATTGCTTTATTTTGCATGGCAATATTTTATTGAAAGAGGGACTCCAGATATTGATTCTTTTTCATTTTTATAAAAGTTGTTAATACTGCAATTACAAATTCAAGTTTTGGTACCCAAAGGTTAAGGTTAGGGTTAGGGTTTAGGCTTGGTTTCGATTGATTTTGCAGTCCAATAGATATATTTTACTGCAATAAAAACAACGGAAGCGAGAGTGAAAACTTTATCAGATAAAACAGTTGCTTACAAAATTTTCCTTAGGGGACATATCTTGCAGTTAAAAAAAGTAATAAAATAAAAGATGTAATAAAAACATCTAAAACTGCAATATTATTGCATCATGACTTAAGCATTGTGATAACATTGTATTGCTGGGCTTCTTTTGTTTCAGCATTTATTTCAATCCTGTTAGATTCAGGTCAAATATTTTGCACATAATTACAAGTAGATATTTTTTCTTAATCACTTTTGGATAAACAAGTATATTGACCTTTATCACGGCTATATTTGATATTGTTAGGTACGTTCTCAAGCAATGGTGAAACTAAGATGATAGTTGGGTCGACACCCAGATTCATGTCTTATTCATGTCATTTCTGATGTCTCATGTATTCTGCACAAATCACTATTTCAGACACATGTGCATGGTGATGAGAGGTGTGCAGAAGATGAACGCCAGCACCGTTACAAGTGTGATGCTGGGAGGATTTAATGACGATCCCAAAATCAGGAGGGAGTTCCCTGAACTTGCAATAAAGAAGTGAACAGATTATATGTGAGAAGGGAACATTTACACCTGATGAGTTATTCATTTCTGCCAGTCTTACTTTCAGGGAATTAGTGTTTTTATGGTGTTGGTTGTGACCCTTTTTAAGCTGATATTTATATGTATTTATCCTGTTAAGTGTCACACACGAGGAATGTCTTACCAAACGTACGTTGGAATTTGAAATATGTTCAACACACTGTGGTAATGTTTAATTAATATAATGGCGACATGGTGCTTAAAGTAATATCTCCAATACAAAGTTACACTGAAAATAAACATAAAGCTATTCTTATTTTTGTCAATGCTCATTCTATTTTTTTAATTTTTAAAAGAACAATGTCCTTGTTATTGTAGATGGTACTGTATGATCTTCATGCAGTCATACAATGAAGCAGTGGTAGAAAAAACTATGATCTTGCGTATTGTACCATGTGATCCCACAGTATTTTGTTCATTTGAGACTTTTTAAGGACCTGCATAGGACCTATGCATTGAATATAGTATGAAATATCCATATCACTTAGTCATGCAATGTCAGTTTACTGAATGACATAAAACAGGTCCCTTAAGAAAAAGGGGCGGGAATCAGTGGCCTAACAGACCTACAAGAAGTATGAGTAGATATTTAGTAACACCACGCACTGTATGAATGAATGTCTTACTCCACTAAAAGCCTTAGAATAGCATATTACAATAATGTAAATGGCTCCTCTTACAGGAAAGCTGCACATATCTACTGGGCTCCATAATATCAGTTTTTGGGATCATGTGAAATCCATTTGCACGAGAAATTCAGTTTGTCAACAGATAATTAGCAGATAAAAACCTCATAATGGATGTGTTGGAAACCCACTGCTAGGAGCCATGGCATCAAAATAAAGAGGCAAAAACTCATCTGCATCAGATTTTCTAAAGAATGAGCAACACAGACAACAGCTCCATATTAATGAAAATGATAAAGTATGATTCAAAAAACAAAAACAAATGCAGGATATAGGGTAAAACAACATACACCAGCAGAGGAATCAGCAGCATGCTTTAAAAATAAATGCCTTTTTTTCTTTGCTCACCAGTTACAATTTAATTTTTAATGCATGGACCAGTTTATTACAGCAGAACCTGTAAGTATGAGACTGCATTGCATGTTCTACAAATTGCCCAGAGAACCAACATGCAGAGCAGTCAGAGCATTTGTGTTTGATAAATATCAGCGATCAACAGAAGATGAATCTGTTTTCTCCCTCTCTGTCCGTCTGTAGCTGCACTGACTGGGATATCATGGAGGCAGTTGGGGTGGTGGGGGGCTGTGTCTGCTGTTTTGTCTACAGTGCCGTAACATTTTTTTTTAACCAGTTACTTCCACACCACTTCTTTCATTATGCTGATCTGTGAAGTGGAACGTAACGCTGGCTGAGTTGAGAGGTCAGGGGCTCCCGCTGCCTAGATACATACAGTCTAATATTAGAACATTTCCTTGATTTGTTAGCAGCATCTCTGCTGAGTCCCGAGCACATGGCAACAGGCCGGCCAATAGGATTTCAGGAGACCACTAAGCCCCTCGCTCTGTATAGCAACAGTGGCATCCTTCCCTTATTTATTTATATAGGAGTTTTTTTTTTCCCACCGACTCATTCTCATGCTCCTGTCCCCCCACTGTGCATCCACACTGTGCTCTCAAACTGTGAAAAAGAGTTACGGTGTGAAGAGTAGAGCTGCTCTGACTTTTCCCTCTCCTTTACCTGCACAAGCTCCAAAACCTGCAGCATTTTTATAGATTTTTTTCATACTTGTTTATATTTTTAGAGCTTTTTTTTAACACTGCACCCCACAGATCAGTGGAGTTTTTCTTCTGTCATTGCATGTAAAAGTAAAAACAAAGTGGGAAATGTCTTGAAAAAGCTTTGATTTTAATGAAGACATGACGTGTTTCGGTGAAGAGGAAAGGAAATACCCTGAGGAACGGCATCGTGGGAAAATGTGGCACTCAGAGGGGACGGACAACAACCAAGTGGAGAGGATCTTTAAAAGATGGAGGACACGGGAGGAGAGGCAGGACGGGATGGGAGGAGTGGGGGGGTGGAGGGACATTGGATGGCGTGAGGACAGAGGCCGGTGGTTGGTTTGATCTGAGCCACGTGTGCGTCCAGCCACGTCTCTTCGCCGCTTCATGGATGTCGATGAAACGTTGTCTTCCCCTGCTGCTCGGTCCCTCCTGTCTTGGCCCAGGTAGGTGCGCACTGTCCCATCCTGCCGAGTTTCCTGATGATGTTTCATTGTTACAGGCTGTCCTGATGCTATCTACACCAGAAGTTGCCATTTTGAAAGTTCCGTGCATGTTCAGCCTTCGTATCTCTTCGTCATTCCAAGCTTAGGTACGGGATGATGAAAAGCTCGAAGGCGTTGGGGGGGGGGGAAATATGGCGTACAGCAGCCGTCCCGCTTTTGGGATTCAACATTGATCGATAGCAGATACGACTGAATATTTAACAACAACAAGACACAATCAGTAGACCGTCATCAGCAAAATAAATATCGTCCATCGTTTTTTGTTGGATGGTGGACTACCGATTTCAACTGACTGACGCTGACAAAATACGGGACAGTCTTAGCAGAGCGCTGCTGTAAAATGCAACATACGTAAAGACTTAACTTCTCACCAATGCTTTTCCTCATGGACCAACCATTCCTATAATAATGCATGTGTTGATCAAACACAAATTACTTTGTTTTGATTAGGTCATCATCATTAAACACAACCTGCTTTGGGACAGCACGCTTTACAGACTTATAACTGACTTATCAGCTTTGATAGCTTTGATATTGAAATAACCCGGCTGTGTGTCGTCCCAGATGGGTGCATACTGGAAGGTTTTATTTTTTAGGAACGTATTAAAACATGAGAAAATTGGCTTATATGACAGAGAATGCAGGACTTGGTCCAAATCATGTTTAGTGTCTCACATCAGCTCAACAGGAACTGGACAAAATGTCCCGTAAACATTGAGCCGTGAAGATTTCATGGCTGCGTACCACTCGAAGTACTTTGATGCCGACGCCATTTCCAATGCTTCGACTTTTGATCTGCTATGTTGCACCATTCTGTTAACTTAGATACTATGCTGCATGCTTCTTCATAGAAAAGACGCAGTTTAAGTTATCCGTTTATCAACAACACCAGTGCTGATCAAGTAAATTTACGTTGTCACATAATCAGTATTTTCGATGCCTTTGATACTAAAATTGTTGCTGAGGAGCATCAGCTGTCCAGATTTAGTAAACGAAAAAGATTTATTAAAGAAGTTAAATGAGGTTACCATGCTTTTTTAGCTTCAGTTTAGAGTTACGGCAAATATCACCCTTTGTTTTTCTGTTAAAACCTTATGTATTGCGATGTGATCAGATCAACCATGTTTCCAAAAAAAGGTCAGATCTTTAATCAAAATCAATTTTAATGAAAGTTCCGGTCATTTTCCTCTTGTAGCGCAGATGATACCCTCACGTCTCTTTAATAGGATGTCATATTGTAAAGGGTATAGGAGGATAATAAAGCGCTGACTAATCCCAGATGCTTGGGAGAGGAAGCAGATTTAACCACAGTCCCCCTAAATTCTTTACCATGTAATGGGCTTCATGATGTAACACTTTACAGTCATTATATTAAAAAAAATGTTGACGCTGACATCCCAAAAACCAAAATCCCATGAAATCCACGGGAATCCAAAAGGCAATATCCTTTACTCCTGGACGTTACACGCAGATTATTTTTCCCCATTACTTTCACTCAAGGAGTAAGAATGTACAATTGGAAAAGACATATGTGCGTTGTCATTTCTGTAAAGAAAAACAATCCTTGTGAGAGAATTATTTGGTCAGGTGTTTTTCTCAGGATGTTAAATGTTGATCCCGGGACAAACAAGGTCCAGTGCTGAAGCCATGAAATTTTTATTGTAATATCTACTTTAATGTTTCCAGTTATTCTGTTACAGTAGATCTTGTCCGTTGCGCAGATATTTAATTGTCAAATACACCTCTTACATTTTTCTTAAGACCTTCTGGGACCTGGCATTTTTATGATAGATGATTTCTAGTTCATCGTTTGTATGTAGCATTGAGAATTCCTCACAAGTTGTACAGTAAAGGAAAAAAAAAAGGCTTTTGCTTCTACTGCACTCACAGAGTGTGAGCTGTGTTAAATACAACGAGCCTCTGCGTAGAGCTCTGAGATGAACCTGCTCCTCTTGATATCAGTGAACATTAAGAGTGGGTGATGTTGATACAGTCTTCAAAACATGATGCGGTATGTTGCATTTTAGATATATATTGTGATTTGGGATAGAAAGATATACAATTTTATCGCGTATCGTGATAAAAACACATTAAGTTGATTGCTGTGAATTTCCATTATTGAGATAATTGTGAATATCGTGTCCTGCAGTATCCAAAGATACTGCTGGACAACCAGTAATGAAATAGACTCTGCAAAAACAGGATGCATACACATTAACCTCAAACAAATGCTAAGAATCTTTATTAAGCATTGGCATATTTCATATCAGAAGATATGACACCATTCAAATAGTTGAAAAGCCTGGATTTTGATATGGTGTGTTTTTCACTGGCAAGAATGCCGAATAAAAAAGATCTGTGTCATTTCTGTGATGCAATAAAAATATTTGCTTCCTTACAAACAGTAACATAAAAGGTTCCATGTATGGTTAATTTCCTGGCAAAGCAGTTGAGAAATCCAGACATGACCAGACAGAAATGTCTTATTAAATACTTGACAATTTAATGTAATTCGTCATGCAAAAATCTTGTAAAAAACAAACAAACAAAACAATATAGTCATAAAGCAGTCCTGCTCATTTATTTGCCACATTTCTGACACTGGTCTGAGGATATGAGATACAGAATAAAGGTTGGAAATATCTCTCATGGTTGATACATTTAAGGCTGTATATGTAACACCTATCAGCTAATTACGGTGTTGAACATTTGTCAACAACTGCAACAACTGAGTTTATCTAAAACTGTTTTCCAGGAAGCCCCTTCAATCACGCTGATAATACCAGAGGTTAAATTTCAAAATTACTGAGCAGCTACACAGTGGACAGCGAGTCTGGAACATGAAGCGGTAATAGGTAACAGTTTAACTGCCCCAAATATCAAATATGGGATGGAGCTGTGAAACAGTGCAGATTATTCCACCATTATTTGGCCAGATGTTCGCATGCCAAAAGGTTTATTTTCCCATTTTACAGCAGAACTTTATTTGTGCCTTCTTGTTTTAGGTTTTCTGACATGAGGTGATGTGTGTGTCCTTGCGGAAGGAATCAGACAGCCGCGCTTCGGTCTGTCACTCTCCAGTGAATTTACAGCTCAATAACTAGTGTCAAGGTGTCTATGAAGCCGTCACTTTGCTGCTCAGTAACAAACTGTGTTTGTTGTGGGTAGCTCCCAGGTATGAATCCCTTCAAGCAAATGACTGCTAAGCAGAACACAGAAAACGACCACTGAGTACACTGAAGTGAAAACACAGGATCTACTGGCAATGTCGCTCTGCGCTGTGATGAGGTCAGACCGGGTGTTCAGGCTGAGAAACATGCTCTACCTCCACAACACAGGGCAGCCTTGAACTCTGCTTCGTCACCCTCTCCATCCTCAGCCATGAGTGTAACTGTAAGCTGATAGTATGTGATCAACAGCACCGTGGCACCCAACATCCTGCTGCTTCACCACCTCAATAAAACCGTTTCAGTCTGTGTTGTGAAAATGGCAGAAGAGGGTTTCCAGCTCAGAGCTCTCGACTGCGCCGAGGACAAAGAGCTGCAGCCAGCTGACTTCCCAACGTCATCTCTAGCATCCCTCCATCTCAGGGACGAGGCTGTGGTCATCCACGAGAGCACCAACCATATGGGGGATAATCCTGAGCCTCATTCTGTATTTTCTGTGATGATGTCATCACCACTTAACCAATCACGACAGCAGTCAGACATATCCGTGGCTACTAGGCCTGAGCCTTCACCAGCAGTTCAAGGTAAGATTAAAGGTGCTATACTAAGTATTTTAAAGCATCAATGCTGATATCATTTTGCTAATAGTAACTGTGATGCATGTTAACAATTACAGCAGTCAGATGAGAAAAAGATGCAGAAACAATCCCACTGGCTTTGCTAAAGTGTCACCTCAACCAAGCTGCAACGAAGCAGATGATTTCCAAAACCCTGTTGCGTTTAATGAGCTGTTAGGAAGTTGAGACATTCCTGTCTGTCAGTACATGTATCTACTGCCAGTTTGTGTCATCTGTGTTTTACGTGTAACTGTTACGCCACTGTGTAACGGTAACATTTACACTAAGTATAGTGCTATCTCAATGACGATGGTAAACATATGTCATATATCATGTATCAGAGTAGCAAAGTTAAGTTATCTCAGTCATCCAAGCATCAGGGAGTAAAAGCCATATTCATTGTTTAGGTGGTTGGAACTATTCAAAGGCCCTTGTGGGCACATTTAACAATGGGTGACATGTTTCTCCCACTGTACGAAAAGGAAGCCTAAATACCCCGCACATGGGAGCTGCCATTATGTGCAATAATGAACAGGTAGTTGAGCGCAAGTATCAAGGTCCTTCCCATACACCTGCCTGAGCCTCAGTGCCATTGGCCCGAAACAATTGTGAGCATAGCAACTGACACACACAGCTGTCAGTTATAAGCTCACACCCACTTTTGACAGCATCAAATAAATAATTAAAACACATTAAAAAATCAACACTTAAACAATCAGCATGATATGAACTACCTAAAATCAAAGAAACCTTTGGATTTTATTTTTTATAACAAGCTCTCTGAGTTTTTAGTTTTGCCTATGTCCCGTCCACTAACACTGAGGGGGTGGGGTTTATGACCTATAGTGCAGCCAGCTTCACTTTTGGGGGAGTTGTCTATGGATGTATAAGGAGATCTGGTTACAGCGCTGAAAGTTGCTCCTTCAGCTCTGCTTCTGCATCGTTGGGCCCATTGAGCAAGTGCACTAGAGGCTTCCACTGGCCAAGCGGGGAACTTCCAGTTTAGCCCTCTGCTGTCATAAATGGGGATAAAATGATTCAACTGTACAGTTCTTCACATTAAAAATGTTGTTTCTCAGAGGTTGTGAGGCTGAGAACAATGTAGCCACTGATTTAGAGACATCTCTTTCACAAGTCTATGGGAAAAAATTATTTGGGGCCCTGTGGCATCATGTGACAAACTGGGTAGTTGTAATTCTACGGTTTGGCCTCTATGTAAAATTATCTTCAAAGCCAGGCACTCTTCCTGTGGGCTTGGAGCTGTCATGTCTTCCATCTTTATATAAAGTCTGTGGTTGGCCATGAAGCATATTAAATGACTCGGCATTAAATTCATATGTTTCTTAAAAAAAATCATCGAAATATAAGACAGGACACAGTCAACTACCTAAGGAGCACTGCAGTAACAAAGGTCCAATCAATGCCAAATAAAACCTTTACAGAATCCAGTCAACTCCATTTTATTTATCCATCCATCCATCCATCCATCCATCCATCCATCCATCCACAGCAGGCCAAGCAAAGCACTCCAGACATCCCTCTCCAACCCAATAACAAATCCCAAGTTGCCTCAAGGGGCTTTATAATCTGTACAGCATACGGCACTTTCTGTCCTTAGATACTCACTTTGGATAAGGAAAACTCATCACCCAAAAAACAGGAAAAAACTGACAACACCTCAATGAGAGCAGCTGAGGAGGGATCCCCTTTCCAGGATGGACAGACACGCAATAAAAAAGCACTTCCTTTGCACTTTAGTTTTTAAAGAATTAATCAAATGTGAGCCAGTGTTTCTTTAAAATATTTTTACTCTAAAGATAAAGATTTCTCGATTTGCCTGAGTGGCACCTCTTGCTGACACCGTTGCAGTCATTGAGGCTCCAGATTTCTCAGAAACATGGTGAAAACATTGAAAACTAATGAATATAACATGACCCTACAGTGGACTTTTTAAAAATATATGGAGGACTCCAATGCTGCAACTAACAATAGTATTCACAGCTGATAAATCTGTCGGTTACTATATTAAATTTCTCATAACCCAAGGCGACATCTTCATATTGACTGTTTTTTGGTCCAAAACCCAAAGATATTCATTTTACTACCAGAACAAACAAAAGCAGTAAATCCCCGTGATTAAGTTAGAACTAGGGAATGTTGGGCATTTTGTTTGAGCTATTACTTACACACGATCACTTTTCAAAACAGTTGCCAAATAATGCTTTGTCGCTCGATTAATCATCGAATCCTTTTAGCTCTTGAGAACAAGAATTTCATTACTCCAGGAGAAATGTCAGCAGCTGGGATCACATAGTGTCAAGGGCTTAGTGAGTTGAACGATTCAGCAAAATCCAAGATTTATTAGATGCAGAGCTTTTCGTAGGCAAGTTTTGACAGAGCTTTGCAGTTTGTGGGCCCAGGGTTAATGAGTTTACGCCCTTTCTAATTTTACAACCACATACGTATGATCCCTCCAACATACAGCTCTGTTGGCAGCAGCGATTCAATGCATCTCCAGACATGCCATCACAAGTGCTGAAGGGATGATTTACATCAACTGCTAATAACACACCTCGCACCACACACACGTATCAGCGCATGTGTTGCGTAGCCACATACTAGTAAACACAAACAATTCACACATAAATGTAAAGCTTTCATGAAATGCCTGACAGACAGGTTCTCACCTTCCCCTGCTTCCCTAATGCCACATTAACACACACAGGAACAATAAACCAAAAACAGTGGCACATCAGCTCCAGTCCTTCAGGCCCACATGGCATCTCGCCTCAGACAGCTGTTGTTTGTTAGGCGAGGCGAGGCAAGGCGAGGTTGAGCACTGAGCAGCATCGAGCGCGGCTGAGTGTGCCTGAGTGTTGAGGAGTGCCCGTTCTGGTATTTTAGGCAGTCAGACAGTGTCACCTGTCAGCAGACTAGTCTGGACAGACTCTCCCACATGGTGCAAGACTAAGCAACACAACGATATCTCCCTCTGGACTCCTTGTCAGTGGGCCAGCAGTGTGTGCTGAACAGCTACAAAGTGCAGATAGCCACATACAGTCTGGTCTCAGCTGAAGTCAGGAGTAACACTGGGTCGATGTGCGGGTGATGTTGCAGAGTCCTTGGAGTCCAAGATGGGCCAAAACGACAGCGAGGCTCGGTCTCACACCCTGACGGAGTTCCTGAAGGACCTTTCCTCCCCTGTTGGTCATGACGATGCACTAAGAACCAACATCGTCAAGGACGGAGGTACTCTGCAGCATCTCTTTGTTCTGCTTGTTAGAGGTGTAACAGGTGTTTTGTAGCATATTGGTTATGGTCCAAAATAAGGGAAAATATGCAACATATGCTCTTGTATAACAATGCAAGGAGACAAATGGGTGGAGACAAGTAGCTTCTTTAAGTATAAAGATGCTGTATGTAACTGGTTGTCGAGTCTCATTTCCAGGTCGTCAAATATTGACACTTTGAATCGGAAAATGGACCAAACCACCAACCCAAAGAGTCGGTATTTGATGACCTGGGAATGACAATCAACTATCTTTTTCCAGAGTTAGACACAGCACCTTTAATCTTTAAAACTAAAATGAGTCCAACAATCTGACACTGATGCACACATGAAATTTTTGCCTTTGTAATTCTGTATTTGTAACCAAAAGTTTAATCACCTTTGTGGTCAGAACTTCAACCCAAGAACAACATAACCAAAGCGATGGCAGCATGTGACTCCAGCTGTGATGACAACCATCTATCTGATGCGGAGTGGTACTGGGGAAATACCTCGAGGTACTGAATGTTTTCATATGGCATGTTGATGATCTGCTGACAACAATACAAATCAATCTGTTTATATTCATGTAAATTCATTTACCAGTCAGTATATTACAGTATATAAAACTTTAAGGCTTAAGACACCTGCTTTAGTAATTTGAAACGTTAATGTCTTTTGTGGTTCTCCAGAGAGGAAGTAAACGAGATGATGAGAAACACTCCTGACGGCACGTTCCTGGTCCGAGATGCTTCCAGTAAGGTGAAGGGGGAATACACTCTCACACTGAGGTAACTACTTTTTAACTCTTCTGTGTTTTGAGAACAGCTGATACTGTGTGTGTGTGTGTGTGTGTGTGTGTGTGTTTAATACAGTGTTGAGCTGGTAATAATATAATAAATATCAGTGCTTTGTATCTTGTGGGAAGGTTATGTTTGCTGTAAATCAGGTCAGTTATTATTTCCTGGTTTCTGCATCTAACTTTAGTTGGCTGGTATGGATGCTTATATTTAGTTTTACTGGTTTTATAATGTAACTTTATACATTTCCTGGTTTCTGTCTAATTTTAGTTGAATCAGGACGGACTAGGTTTCAGATATAAAGCTTTGTTGATTAGAGTTTGGCACCCACTCCAGCGCTCAGCAACATAACACCCTTAGTATGCTGAATACATTTCAGTCATCTGTTTTACCAGTCGTCTGTCTCACATCTGTCTGAAGGAAGAGACCTTAAATTAATGCTGGTTCACTGTGTTGGTTGGACGTGCAGGACTGTGGTCGAGTGTTGAAGACAAAGCATTTACATCAGTGGTTAAGCCCGATAAGAAACGCTTCTCATGTTTCCATATCTGAAATTCATCCTGCGCTGTGCCCACAAGTACGATGCTGACCGGCTGCTCCTGTCTGCATTAGAGTAAATATATCTTGCACCAGCAACATTTGTGCTGAGTTCTGCAGAGCTTGTGAAATTTTTGGATCACACACCTTAATGACATCAGGCACGTAAAATCTCCACTTGCAAACTGTTCAACTTAAAGAAACCAGAATATTTGCTCAGCAAATATCAAATATTGATTTCTTACAGCTACTTGCTGCAACATCAGATGTTTGTTTTGATGGGGTGTGTGGCTGAATTGAGTTTTCCTTTGACAACAGAGGGTAAGGTAAAGTGTTAAAGGACGAATACAGTAACATAGGAGCCTGAAAATTGACAAAATGGTCTATTTTAAATAAAGACTTCTTTGACTTGAATCAGCCTAAAATGCACAGCAGTATAAGGTAGGTGAGTGTACATGTGTTTGTGGGGGGCGGGGGGTTACTGGCAGCCTTGTGCGACAGTTATATGCTTTGACTTTTGCAGGAAAGATGGCTCCAACAGACTGATAAAGATCTTTCATCATGGGGGGAAGTATGGTTTTTCTGAGCCACTGGCCTTTCCCTCAGTGGTGGACCTGATCAAGTATTACCAGAACAAGTCCCTGGCCCAGTACAACTCTAAACTGGACACACAGCTACTCTACCCCATTACCAGATACCAGCAGGTGAGTTTATGAGGCCTTGAGCTCTGAATGTGTGCCGTCTTTTGTTACAACTATTTGCTAAATATTACGTACGCTTACATGCACAAAATATTCCGGTGTTTTGCCCTTATTCTGAAAAACACAACATTCCTAATATGGAACAGCTCAAGCAGCTTGACGTTTTGTTTCTTTGCATCAAAATACGACTTTCTTAATGTTTTCTTACCGGTGGCGGACTTGTTCGACCATATGAACACAGCCTCCCTCTTTCATTCTTTAAACCACCTCCTTGAAAAGGTTGGCTATTTGATATTTGTGCATATCAAAAAACCCCTTGATATTCAAGTATTTCATAAGGTTTAAAAGTAGGTGTGTTTCTCCTCCTGACCCCTTTTGATGATGCATTTCTACACCAGCTTTGCAAACTGTTGGTGAGCTGTGTAAATGTCTCCATGATGACGCACAGAGGCGAACACAGACAGACAAGAGGCCATGTGTCACAAACTGTGGCTTTATACTTGTGCGTCAGCTCTATGCAGAGCCTACGCCGTTGTGAGCATTTATGCTTGTGCGGTGGTGTGTCTGTCACTCTGCAGTTACACCTCCAAAACACTAGTTGGCAGCGGGATTTCTGCAAAGTGCTGTAAAGTCTAGTTGATTTAAAATACACCCAAAACACACATTAAACATGGCTTAATAGAGACCATTTCCAAACACAAGTACACAAATCAGCTTCACTGTATCTCGCAGCATTCACAGACAAAGCACTTTTGCTGGACACATTTTCCCCACAAATACAACATGCTAATGTTTTTAGCACGAGCCTATGGCATTTTACATTGTATAAATTAGCCTAGCAGCTAGCGGACTTTTCCTCTACTCATATGAAGCCAGGGACAACAGCAACATTTGACAAAGGTAATACTACAAAATTCAGCTCCGTTACAACTCACAAGGTTCACTGACAAAACAAGTGCCTTACACTCAACATGTTTTCCAAACAAATATAACATGCTAACATTATTAGCATAAACCTATGGCATTTTACATTGTATAAATTAGCCAGCGACGAGCTGAGATTTCCTCTGCTCATATGAAGCCAGGATAAATCCCAAAGTATAAATCCCCGAAGCAGAAATCACACACAAGACTTAAAATGCTTTTTTGTGGAGGCTCGATCGTCTTCACAATGTATTGTTTCCTATCTGTGAAATTAAAGTAAATAAAAACTTAATTTCAACTGAGGGAAATAGTTATAGACAGGAGGCCTGCGTCGCTGCGACGCCTAGTTACATTTCTGGGGAGGTGCATGTCAGGCTATGACATAGGGTACGACGTTGATTCCATGCAGAAGTATAAATCCCGCTTAATTTGGAAAATCCACACAATACAGTTTGCATGATCCACATCAAATTTTGAATATTGTCTTATTTGGAATAATAGTGGAATATTAGTGTCCATGTAAACGTACCCACTGTGGGGATTTTCTTTGAATCTCTGTGGGCCTGTGTGTGGTTTTGGCTGCATCAGATATGGATAATGAGTTTCTTTTAAGGATGCGTTTAATGTCTTCATTTTTAGTAATAGTGATAACCTTCTGTTTAGTTTAGATCAGACAAAAGGCATCACAGGAGCTTTAAAACATGGACTTGGTCTTGAGTATCTTTTACATTCTCATCTGCAGCAGCAGGTTGGGATGGAAGTTGACATTGATGTAGTTGGAGAACAGCTGAGGATATTTCAGGAGCAATACAGAGAGAAGAGCAAAGAGTACGACCGTCTGTTTGAGAAGTTTAACCAAACCTCTCAGGTACAGCATCATCCTAATCTTCATTTTAATAAGTATAACTGTGGTTTTATTGGTTCAAAGCAATATCTTTTATAGTAAATGTTTCACTTCTGATTGCTTTGCCACAACGGAGTCTTCACTGTAAGGCCTTGAATATTCAGGTAAAAATTTGTTGCTCTTCCTCCTCAGGAGCTGCAGAGCAAGCGGACAGCCATAGAGGCTTTCAGTGAAATAATCCGGATCTTTGAGGAGGAGTGCGAAACTCAAGAACGCTACAGCAAAGAATACATCGACATGTTCCTCACATTAGACAACAGCACAGAGTCAGACAAGTATGCTTTAAAGTACTGACCTTTTTTTCTAATTCAGTCACTTTTTGTGTCATCTGTTTTACTTATTTTCAGTTTTTAAGAAAAAACAAAAGGCAAAAATCTAAATTAAAGACATTCACTGCAGGCCATGCTCATACTGATGTTCCTTCCTCCTCCCAGGATTCAAAGCAATTCAGATGAGCTGCAGTCGAGGGTGGAGGAGATACACAACAGCAAGAAGAAGTTGGAGGAGGAGCTGAGGAGAAAGGCGGTAACTCACATGGAGGTCGACAAGAAAATGAACAGCCTGAAGCCCGACCTTGTGCAGCTCAGGAAGATCAGAGATCAATACCTGCTGTAAGTTCAGTCCCTCAGTGCCTCACGATGAAGATTTGACTCTGTTTTCAAAAGAGTGGGTGCATGTCTGTACAGATTACAGATTATTATAGATTTAATATCTTAATCCTATTTATTTTCATTAAAATATATATCAAGTACATAAAAAGGACAAAATAGACAACTAGAATTATCACCTTGCGGTTGTTGGATGCCAGTCATGTTTGTCCTGAGTCATGTGAAGTCATTACAGTTGACAATGCATTAAATATGGATCTTGCTACAAAGAAGCTATACATTCTAAAAAATGGACGCTTCACACACATCTTTAACCCGACAGCACAAAAGATTTATACGTTTCAGACACCCAAGATTAGTGTCACCAATTCAGTATCTGAACAAACGTCTCCCCTTCTGTTGCCGAGATATGACACTGAATAATGGGCAGAAAAGTGTTTTATGCAAAACATTATGATACCATCATGAAGCTGACCTTTGAATTTTTGGATATAAAATGACATCACTTCATCATTTATTCATGAATTATTATCCTAATAGAGATTTGTGTGAACTGTTGCCATAATTAGTGCATGAATTCTTGACCTATGGCAAAAAAACATGTTTGGGGAACACAGTGACCTTTGACCACCAAATTGAAATCAGTACATGTACTTCGTTGAGTCCAAGAGGACATTGGTGCCAAATTTAAAGAAATTCCCTAAAGGACTTTTTGAGATGTTATGTTCACAAGAATGGGATGGACAAGTAGAAAATATAATGTGTCCTACCACGGCTATCTCGCAGGCTATCATGAGTTGTTCACTTCGATGTGAAGGCTGCGTCTTCCTATCTTCAGCACATTCAGATAAGCAGATTTGTCCTATTCAGGTTTTGTGAATGAGAAGTTTAGACGATCATTCTCACAGACTGGTTACTTTACAACAAATAAAGCAAGACTCATGGTCTGCTGACATTATTATGTATTGACTACCCTCAATTTTCACTTTCTTTGGAAATTTCTTCCATTTCACACAAGTGTGTTTTGGCAATGTATAATAAGACTGCTGCATACTGAAACGATGATACTCAACACTAATATTAATTTCTAAAAAAGAAAAAGAAAAGCAAAATCTAATATAATGAAACTAGTCCATACCCATTGGTAGCTTTGTCACCTTCTACCTATGCCAATCCTCAATGCCTATGTGCAGTTTCACATAGATTGACCACGTCAGTGAGTAGAAAAATGTGGGACAGACAGAATGACACACTGACAGTTCCGTGATAATCCGTGATTATCATGACTTAGTCATACCAAAAATTAGAACCCCCCCCCCCCCCCAAACATTGGGCCACAGGGGGAGCCACAGCGATCGGTTGCATTTTAGCCATTTTTAAGCATTTTTCTGTTGTTATAGCGCCACCCAGTTGCCAATTAGAGTAAAATTTCTCCAGTCACCTCGAGGCGTCCTGTTCTACATATCTACCAAGTTTAGCAAAAATCGATATGGTGGTTAGGCCTAGATAAGAAATTAGCTCTCTAGTGTCCCCATTTTGTTTGNGGGTCAATAATGGAGGGGTCCCCTCAGATTATGTGTGGTCATATGCCTACAAAGTTGCGTGGTGATGGGTGAAACCCTTGAGATGTTATACACCTTTATGTGATGAGCCACGCCCTCCGCAATATTCATTGCCTTATAGAAGCTCAGTTTTAGTAAGTTTTCCAACTTTTGCCAAGAGGGAACTTTAGATATTGGTCCCTAGATTATGTTCACCGAGTTTCATGCAGATCGGTCAAACTTCCTAGGAAGAGATCCATTTTAAGTGTTTTTCAAAAAATTCAAAATGGTGGAAAATCTATATAATCGGAAGTTCTGGGTTCTTGAGGCAAATTTGTTCCTCATGAGGAGAGGCATCTCTGTGCAAAGTTTCATGTCTCTACGACATACAGGGCATGAGATATGCCCATTCAAAGGTTGCAATTTCAATCGGTTGCTATAGCGCCCCCCTTTGGCCAATTGATGTAATATTGCTTCATTCGCATCCTCCCATGATCCTCTACCACTGTGCCAAATTTCACATGGATTGACCAAGTCAGTGAGGAGAAAAACGTGGAACAGATACACACACAGACACACACACAGACAGAGTTTTCGTCATTATATAGTAAGATAGAGTAAAAATAGAAGAACTGACAGGGTATATCATATCACATGTTTTGCTAAAAATCAACATATTGCAGCCGTCTTTACTGTTTTCTCCGTTTCAGCTGGCTCACCCAGCAAGGCACCAGGCAGAGCCAAATCAATGACTGGCTAGGTATCAGGAATGAAGAAGAAGAGTGAGTATCCTCATTCATCCTGGTCAGCTTATATAACTTATATTATATATTGCAATTTCTATTATACTTGATACAAACTACCACTCACAACAATCTGAAACATGCTTCTATGTGCCGAGGTCTCAAAATATGCACAGACACATGCAAATATCTGTGCAATTCAGGGGTCTGAGAAAATATCATTACACTTGAGTATATTAATTTTATGTTTTGTGATACTGTATTCATTTTCAAAAACACTATTGATTTATCTTTTTATGGTTATCGTACCATGAAAATTTTACATCAGTGAAACTCTAGGTGTGGCACAGTGCATTCTGGGAATTGTAGGTTTTCTACCAAAGCTCTCTCTGTTCATGTAGCACCAATTTTAAAAATATTTGCGTCTTTCTACTGCATAGACAGCCCAATTTATGAATAGACCGTCTTTCCAGCAGTGACATACTTATTGGATTAATCTAACCCTTCCACCTTCTCATCATGCTTTAGCCCGTACACTCTGGCAGATGATATCGACCAGGAGGAGAGGAGCTGGTACGCTGGTGGTATGAGGCGTAAGGAGGCAGAGGAGCTACTGAGAGGGAGGAGGGACGGGACGTTCCTGATCAGAGACAGCCAGACTCAGAGAGGCTCCTTTGCCTGCTCTGTTGTGTGAGTACCATCACATTTGCATCCCTTACTCATTTAAGAAATCGCAACATTTTGCCTCCTCTCTAATCCTAATGGATCATGTGTTTTTACCAAACGTGGGTGCAGTGCAGATTTCATGCCTAACCTGTCCCTAAAAACATCCATATTATTATTATTATTTTTGTGATGTTGTGTCTCATGCAGCGTGGATGGGGATGTGAAGCACTGTGTGATCTACAGGACGTCCACAGGGTATGGCTTCGCTGAGCCCTACAACCTGTACCCATCTCTAAAAGAGCTGGTCCTCCACTACCGACACACATCCCTGATCCAACACAACCAGCAGCTGAATGTAACCCTGGCCTGGCCCGCTCTCAGCCAGCAGCCCAGCTGAGACACACCAGCACGCCACCCTGATGGCACTTTCCCAAACGCTTCACTGTATTTGCACCACGGACGCACCAACATGGACACTATTGCCAGACTCTGACAGGGTACCGGTTAGTGTCGTCACTATAGGAGAATTTCCAGAAACAGCTTCAGTGCTCAGATTTGGATATCTAAAAACCCTACACTGGTAAGATGTCAAAGCAAGGTTGATGACTTCACTTCCTGTCAGCTTTTTTAGTTGAATAGAGTGGCTGCATATTAACGGTAACTCTGCTCTAATCTAGTTTATTTTTTTAAAGCTATTATTCCTAATATTAAAAATCCCATTTAGTCGCCATCTGCACATACAGCTTGCAAAACACAATTGGGATTAAGTACTTAGCTGTTCACAGAATTCGGCATTGAATTAAATCTTGTGCAGCAGTACTGAGGTAGTCCTGGAATACTGCCTCGTCATAACAACACTGGTGGTGGTGTCAGCGAGTTTCCCAAACTGCTGCCGGTATTAAAGCTGCAAACATCTTAGCAGTGTAGTGGTTTATAACAATGATATCAGGGTAACACAAAATACAAGTATCTAGCTTCAGAATACTAAACTGATGAGGAACAATCAAAATAGAGAGAGATAATTTGGCTTGCTATGAAAAGGAGGGTATATTTTCTTGGTGGAGAGAAACTGATTTTTTTAAGAAGCAGGTTTCATACAGTGTTGACGCTACAGTCTCTAGATTTGGCCAGTCTTGCCTCAAACACGGACTAAAATTTTGTCCAACTATCCAAATTAATGCTTGGCCTCAGCCACCTTCCCTCCACAGTGCATATCTTAAATCAATACAGTCAGTGCAGTTGCAGTGTTTAAGCTGGGGAAATGAGCTCAGGATGGGACTCTGCACTACCAAGCACATGTGCTTTATGGGTAGTGTAGTGTAGAAACTGAGGAGACACACAAGCACTTTATCCAAAACAAGACAACCAGAGTACACACGAGCACACAGATGCAAGCTGGAGACTCGTGAGGCACTGATTTCACGTATATTGATGTTGCTGGTTGAAAAGAGGTTTTTATTTCAGTGATATATAAGAAGTTATTTTCTTACTGTCATCTTTATTCTGCACATTATCTTCAGGACATTACAAATAAGAGGAAAGAGGAGCTCATGGATTTTACCTCTGGGGTATATTTATGCTTCACAGCCCCTATTTTTGTCATTATAGCATCTTTCAGATTATCAGAAGATTATTTTCATTCACTGAAAAAAGGGACAATCATGTTTAAATTAGTGTAATCTACGTGTTGCTTTAAACTCACTCATGAACACTTTAATGTGTTAGTAATAATATATGAGTGGGTATTAACTGTGAAGAATCAGACGTGAGGCACAGGCTGACAATGTAAGCATTTCTGTGTGTCGTGTACATGCACATTTTGGATTATTGACCCCAAATAAGCACAATTACTTCTAAGTATCTGGGAGATATCAGTCTGGTTCAGATTAATCTTTAGAGAATCAGTCAGCTGTTTTTTAGTTTCTATATTTTTGGTTGGTGTTGTTGATCCAGGAGCTTTGCTAACTCTCTGGAGTCTGATGTGGAGTGATAATGGTATTTAGATTTTGGGTTCTGGTTGAAAAGTGCCCTTAAGTGTTCCTGTTCCAGCCATCGTGATTTTCTTTGTGTTACTCTCAGGAGCGATGTCTCGTCCCCTACATGGTGTGTTGGGTGTAATCAACAATGTTAGGATGGACTGAACAGTGACGTTGTGTCAGGCTGGATACAAGGTTACAACAGCACAAAAACCCTGGAGTACCCTGAGAGAGAGTATTATTATCAAAGGTAGCTGTGTTCCTAGAATAGCATCATATTCCCTATAATAATTACATTTAACTGTTTTGTAAAAGTGAGTGTCACATGGATCTTATTCCCCAGAAATTTCCACATTGAGCTCAGATCACACTTGGCACGAGATGCTGTGCACATGACATGGGCCTGTGTACCAGGGGCTGGATGCATAAAACTGTGTTGATTCACGACAAAGACTGTGTGTACACACAAAGGCAGAAATATGAATATGCATTCTTTTTTTCATTTATAAAGCAATGCATATGCCCAATTCTGATTTTAAAATCTCATTCATTGCGGCGCTGGGTGCACATACACATACATACATCTGTGTGTATATCGATACTTGTGCACCTCCACTGCTCATTAGACGGTGAGAAATATGGTAAAGAAAGTGCAATTTCACTAACTGTGTTGCATCAACAGTGTTCTCAAATGGTGCCAGAATGGCTGCCATCACACACGGCTGTGGTGATTTGTAGCTTCTGTACCACTTTTACTAACATTTCTGCAATTTGTTAAGGGAGATATTCACACATCTGACTTTCGCAGACGCAGGTGCGTTGTAAAAAATCGCTTGAGTCTTTGAAGAGACAATCCCTCACACTGCTCTCGTTCAGCTTCACAATTATTTTTTCTAACACTAATGTTCAGTCCAACTGGACACTCTAGACGACCCAGTAGGACCGAAAACATTAGTGTTACAATAAATCGTAAAGCCGTTGAAGGAGCAGTGTGAGGGATTTTCTGTTCAAAGACTCAAGTAACATTTCTGCAAACCAACACAGTAATCTTAATAATCATTATTATTAAACAATTATTCATTGATCAGTGATTCACTCAGAGCGCTCATGTTGAAACTGACTTTACAAAGAGCTTCACAGGGTAACAAACAATCACTAAGATGAATGCAAATAAAAAAATGAATTGAAATTAACTTTCTAAATGCACCTCTGGTTGACATTTTACAGCCTGCAAAAATAGTAACATAACCAGTGAAATTCGACAACCTAAAAAAAAAAAGGTTACCATCAATCTGATCTTATCTTTATCACATCATCCACCACTATCTCAGCTAAAAACGTGTGGACGCTGAATCTCACGTATACATGAGGTGCACACATTCTTTGTTTATAAATACAGAGTTATGTGTGAGAAAAAGCGTATGCATGGATTTTGTGTGTACACATCCTTTATGCATCTGACCCCTGGTGATTAAAATTTACTTTAAGTTTTAATTATAAAAGATAATTAGAAAAACAAAGGCTCATAATTTTAGTGGTGTAGAATTTAGACAATTGTTAAATCTTAGCCATGACCTGAGGTGAAACTAAAGACACAGGAGCTGAAAATGTATCACTGATACATAGTATTTTAAAGGAGCAGTAAAGAAGTACATATGAAACTATCATTGCTTAAATTTTGCAGGCTTGTTAGTTAGCTTTGCTGGCTAACTAACGACTAGCTAACAAGGTATGATTCCAGCTATTGTGGACCAAATGTAGTATTTTACCATAAAATGTGACAAAATTATGATATTAGAATTCACTAGTGGGGTAAATGTTGGTACACAGCAGCAGAACATACCTGAGATGATTTTTTACTTTCTCTTTAAGAGTGAGGTATATTCAAAATGGTGATAAATATTATATTTTGAAGTTGAAGTTGTTTACATTTAAGGCCTACCCAGGAGCCTCGGGCCCCAGGTAGGTAACAGGGACTCCTCTGATCGTGCACTTTGTGAGCGGAAATGAAGTGGTGCTTATAGTGAGATACAGTGAATCATTTAAACTATTTTTATAGGTAAAAAATACAGTAGTTATTAAATATGCAGTGTTAGGTTGGGCTGCCCATTGAAGTTATTGTATGTATTTCCTGTTTAATGGGTCACTTTAAATGCACTAGCGGTCATTAGTCAAACATGTGCTTGATGCTCGTTGCACACTTGAAGTTATCAGTTCTGTCAGACTGGTTATTGTCATGAAGGGAGCTGGAAACACTGTGTCCAAGTCCCACTTTGTGGCAGTGAAAAGGTGTAAATGTTTGATTTTGCATGCCATCATTAACAGATTATCTAAGTATTATATGTATTACTGATTATAATATACGGCTGGATACTGTTTTGACACCGGTTCTGGTACTATAAGTTCACCACCAGCTATAAAAGATATGTTTTGTTACCTTTCTTTGATGGGTTAGCTGTATTCTGTGAAATCCTCAAGCTTTTTTTTTTTTTTTGCTTTGTCTCCATCACTGGTGCTAAGCAGTCATTGCTGTAGTTTTCCTTAAATACACCTCTCCGAGATCACCTGTCAGTCATACTGTATGAGTGATACTGTGATATCTGCCCCGTCAAAGCAAACGGAAAAGCTTTCAGGTTGGGTGTGCTTTGTTGTGCTTGTGACCACATGAATCTGCGATATAGCGTTGCACAGTAGTAAAATGTAGAGTGCTGCGTTGCACAGGTTGTGGACAGAGCGTACCACAGCCACAAGATGGCGCTGCATACAGGATGTTCAACCTGTGTGACATTAATCTTTAAAGTGAAGAAGCAAATTTTGAAACTTTGATCAGCTGTTGATGCTGTTTTGTAACACACAGTGCTTATGGACAAGCAGTGATACACTCCTCTGTGTAGAAACAAGGTCTCTGTAACAGTGGTGTAGTCTAAAAGCAAATAGAGAGAATACTGTGAAGTTACGGGACACATGACTCACACCTGCTGACAGACTGTTGAGCTCTGTTCGCCTGAATCTCCAGCCTTACAGGGTGTTCATTAAAACTAGGCTTGGGTGGTATCTATTTTTTCATACCTACATATGTTCCTTAAATTTTACTGGCATGATGGTATATATGTGCGACACTACCCCATCCTGACCAGCAACATTGCTTAACCTCACACAGTGTTAAGACAGATAATATTCTTACACCTATTTTTTTTATTAAACAGAAAAATACAATTGTGCACCTTCCGAATTAAATTTTCTCCCTTTTACTGAACTAAGACTAGCTTAATTGTCTTGTTAACTTGTAGTAAAACACTAAATTCTGACTCCACAGAAAAAAAATAAAACTCCCCGCCTTGGTTAATCTTGTTAGTCATTTAGTGAGTTAGTCCACTGTTCCACTTAAGAATAATGTTTGCCCTGGAAACGCTACGGTCTAGGTACCATGTCTGTAGGGTTACTTTTGGTTTCAAAGGTACCATACCAAAAGTGTTTGGTGGAGACGGGTCTTAATTTACCAGGTAACATGTGAAAATGTGCTGTTTTCCCCTGTGGTCTCTCTCTGCTGTTGCAGGCCATCTGTTTACAGTCCTGTAATGTTGTCCCCACCACTCGCAGTCGGCTCAGCTGCCTGTTGCACCAGTCTGACCTCATGTGGTGCATGATGTGCACTACATCTGTATTACAGCCTCTCAAGTATTAAGTTAACAGAAATATGAGTGACCATGCTTTTTATGATACTGAAAATCATACCTTCGTTATTTCTAAACACCCTGGTGTAATACTGTGATACCGCCCAGGCCTAATTGTAAAACAGTTTTTTCCTCTTAAAGTGAATTGTTCTACAGTAAACATGGATGGATACACCTAAATTAATGCTATTACGTAAGGCATGATGGAGTGCACGTCTGGCATGTGGAACTAAAACCAGCCATCTGTCCCTTGTCATTTGGGGTTTGTTTTTCTCTCTCTTTCTTTGTACTTTTTGCACATTAAATAGATAAATTAAGTGTTAATGTTAGTCCATAACTTGAAATATAAATGTATGTTAATTTTGTGAATTCTCAGAAAAGAAAACTTTACATATCCCAGCTAATTTTGTAGCAGGAATGCAGAAAAGGTTATAGAGCTTATATGTGCACAAACACACAACATAGACTACACCACTGCTCTGTGGGGTTTAGATTTAAAGCATTGTATTTGCACATATGTATCTCATGTGAGGTGGAGATACTTCAGCCGTCATGTACATCCACCCTGCTACTGGAGCAGGTGGTGGTGCTAAACATGGACAAGTTGCTTATGAGATTGATCTGTCGTAGCACTGATAAAGCACTGATATGAGTTTTCAAAAGTTTTTTTTTTCCCATCTCTTTAATGAGCTGACCACTTAGTAGTAACTAGCTCTGTAAAGTCAGACGTCTTTATTTTGTTATTGTATCTGTGCAATTTGGTCTTTTTCGGTTGTCACCTTCTCTTTTTGTAACTTACCTGTTTTATCATTGTGCAAACAAAAATGACGTGAGAAATAACGAGAAACACATTTTAAAATGATTGATGTTTCGTAGGAGAATAACTGGTGTCTCATATTATGAAGTGTCTCATAATGTACTTTCAGCCACAATCATTGTTCTGTCCAACTAATTCTTCATAACCTAATATTACCTAATGCTTTAACAACCGTTACCATGATACATTTGCTGTTGTATAACAGAATTATACACAGCTATAAAAAATACTGTTATGTCAAAAGAAAAAAAAACCTTAGGAGCAGATTAAAGTTTTACTTTTTCAATTACTGAGATATTAGCTAGCTTGGTAAGCTATCATTTAGCCTGTCGCACTTTCAACATCATAAATGTTTGACTAATTGAAAAGAAAAATAAGTGATTGCCATTTTTATTTTTAGACTTCTGTCGTCTTTATTTGACAGTTAACTAACACGTGCTCCATAAAACCTCCCATGTGGGAATTTTAACCCGTTCAGATCCCCCCCGTCCCTTCCAATGGACGTAACTGTTCTAGGATGTCTAAATCTAGATCGAGACATTACTGTCATCTGACTCCACCCAAATGCACAGACTAATGGACTGCAATAGAGCCACGCCCCCTTTTTTAACAAATGTGTCCGACTGTGAGTCAAGGAAGGAAGTGCAAGTCATGTTTTGGTGTATAAATCATGTTGTTAAAGTACATAATTTGTGTTTAAACTGTTAAAAGTAACCATGCGATATTGTATTACTTACACATGTCAAAAAAATCATATGAAATATTTATAGTTTTTAATCAGGATTTTTTGGAGCACCATCAAATAAATAGGGAAATACTGTTAAAAAATAAAATACAAATTACATAGGGAAAATACTGTATCAAGCCTCTAATGCATCTTCTGGATTATGTTCACAGAATAATAATCTCAGGAGGATTTTTTGCTGTACTGTTTTCTGGAGATACTTAAGAAATTGAGAATATTTTAGAGTCGTGATAAGGAATACAATACAATATATATACAATGTGTTTTAAAGCAGCACTTAATCCATTAATATGAGTTAATTCTTCATGAAAAATAAATTGACTTGTGTTTGTTGTTGAAAAAAAGGCCTGTTAAGACCTATTAATACTGTTAATAAAGGGTGGTCTCTGCATTCAGATTCTCCGTCCATTGGAACAGACAGAAACAATAACAAATAATAAAGTCTCCTCATTTAAAAACCAAAAAAAACCTGATAATTTAAGAGTGCATTTAGAGTTAAAAAAAAAAAAAAGCACAACATAATTTTCTTTATATTTTTTTGTGTTGTGGAACATAACTGGATCCTGAACGGGTTAAAATAAATTGGATTTTTTTTTCCCCTGAGTGAGCAACTCTTTAAAGTTGTGCTAGATGCCATGGATTTGTGGCATGGAAGATTGATTGAGCCTTACTAGTGTTTGCTTGGAAAAAAAAAGTTAACCTTGTTTGTTAAAGTTGTGGGGTGTAAAGACATGATGAAGGTTTTAGTGGTAATAATGCAAGGTGTAATTCCTAGAGGGGGATGTATATTTTACACAATTCTTTCTCCCTGGGATATGTTCATATTGGATGCAATTTACACCAGTTGCAATGTTCAACAACAAGGCAGGAAATGGTTAGCCACATAGGGCGAGACGTCGTGGATGTATAAAGAGAACTGGATAGAGTGTTGGAGGTGGGTTCTTGTTCATTTCTATGAAAGCTGCTTTGTGGGGCATGAAGCCAAAAAAACTGACTTTGTCTTCTGAATCATTGAGCCAAAAAAGCAAGTGCGCTATAAACTTTTCCCACCTAAGCAGCTAACTTACGGTTTAGTACTTCACTAATTTGAATGGGGATAAAATCATTAAATTGTGCAGCTCTAGACTGGATAAAATCCCAATATTTCGGGAAGGGGGTTTGTGATGCTCTTAAAAATTATCCATTGAATTATAGATGTGTATCTAACAATGTTGGTCTATGGGGAAATGCCTTTTTGGGTCCAAAAGCGTCACATGACGGATGTGGAAGTTGTAATTCCACAGTTTGACCACTGTGTCAAATTGGCCTCAAAGCCCAACACTGTGCCTGGGGGCTTGAGGGAAGCACAGGGTGTGGGTTTGAAAGCTAGGAGAGTGGATGGGCATGTCACATGTTGGTTTTAATACTAGAGTTGAGAATTGAGTTCATGGCTTAGTTGGTATTTGAATTTTTGTACATTTAACCAAGACAATCTCTCCTCCAACCTTTATAAAGTAGTTTTATTTGACTAACTTTAATTATAATGTATGGCTTGGCCTGGATATTGTGAAAATATTTAATTAAAAACAGTTTGCACTAAATGTTCAGAAATGTTTGCAGTGAATGAAACTTTGAGTCTTTTGCAGAATTAATGGAGATCAATGGTCTGTGTGGTGAATAGGTTGTGTTTAGGTTTAAGGTATAGAGTTGACTGAAGGTAGTGGATATGTAGGTACACTGTAAGAGATACAGGTGGGTTTGGTATGTGTTAGGCGTTATGTTGGAGACAGATTGAGTTCATAAAGTGTAGGAATGGTTATGTGTATTAAGGGTTTGGAGTGGTTATAGGAAGGGTTCAGAGGGAGGAGGTTGGTAAGTTAGGGATATTTGCGTTCACAAAGTGCTCGGCTCCACCAACTGTCTTCCATGCCATAAACGTGGTGGGGTGTAGCAGTAAGATTAGTCAAACACTAACCACAACATTTTAGGTTTGTTTTCCATCTCAGCCTGAGTTAAATGGGAGGACCTTTATCACCTTTTTAAGATGTTTAAAATCCAGGGACTTGACATATTTAGACAGGTTTTGTTTCACTTTGAGCTGTGCATATGATCAAATACCTCTACTTGTCTCTGCATCACAGTCAACGTAGTACTTGATGTTTCTGTAACTCTTATTTTTTCCGTTGTGGCTGTATGGACTCGTCTTTCTGCTTTGATCTAAAGCATTTAGCTGCCCTTTGTTGATAGCCTATTGCTGTGAGAAAATACTGTTATTGAAAATGTTTAAATTTTACTGTATTGATTATGCAATAACATACATTTTTTAATAGCTTGTGTTTCATTTAGAAGTCATATCTGAGGAAAACTGATGGTTTCAAACATTTTTTTGTTGATGTAAAACCTGACTTTACCCACTTCAGAACATCATTGTTCATGTATACACTTTTAGATCCCCAAATAAATTTGAGATGGTGGTTTAATTAATTGTTGTGAGTATTATTTGATAACCTGAGGACTTCAACACTTTTGGTTTGAGGTGGTCTGATCAAAAAACTCAGGCCTGGATTAACAAAGTATAAACCACTATATAGCACAAATACCATTTAGATAATAAGCCTAGAAAAAAACACTGCAAATATAGAAGACTGTACTATGGTACCACAACTTTGGCTTCACAAGTATCTCGCATATTCACTACACATAGATTTGCTACCTTTACTACTACCTTGGTCAGGTCTGTCTTGTAAAAGAGATTTCCAATCTCAGTGGGACTTCCTAGTTAAATAAAGGTAAAATAAAATAAATTAACTACATGTAGTCGAAATTCTGACAAAAGAAGCAAAAAACCTCAATAGGACTTAACTCGTTAAAGAAAATAATTAAGGCATTTTCCAAGCTCACTGTAGATTTGAGATATGCCAGTTTCCTCTGGCCCTCGAATTTTTGGTGGCCAAATTTCAGAACTATTCCAGACACTTGATTTTTTTGACATTTTGGTAGCATATCTGTAAACCTGTCACCTTTAGTCAAACTGTAGCAGTTTCAGTAGTGCTGGACTGCTGGTGTCAGAGTCTCAAAACTCACTAAGTTTTAATGTCCTTGTCTGAAAATAACTAATAATTATTGTTGATGCATAATGACAAACTGTTGGATTACTGTTTCTTAATTAATGGGCTATTTGGGATTTTTGAGGTGATGCAAAAATGGGGTGCAACGGAGAATTTCGAATACTGATTTGGATGTAAATTCACATGGCAATAGTTGCGGATTCAAAGCATTCTTGTCAGCCCTACGTATAATGCAATGCAGTATCAAACAACATAGTTTACACCCTAGAATTAGACATTTACTGCTCATAGTAATGGTTTGAAATATCTACTTCAGCATCTTGAACAGCTGCTGCTACACTCACAACATCTTACAATCTCTAACCAAAGTCGAACAGCAATTACTCTGTCAGATCAGCATATAAAAAAAGAGTCACCTGGTTGAATGGCGCTGTCCAAAATTTAGCCATGTTTTCGTAAATCAAAAGATATTACATTTCCTGATGCAGCACAGAGGTCATCCAGTTTATTTTTCAATGTCTGTACAATGGCTAACAGGACACTAGTTCAGCTGGTGTCCACTCTTCTTCATCTTTTCCTCAATGTTTACTGATGTTCACCTTTGAAAACCTTGACCTGGCCAGCTAGAAGTCCGCAGAAGAAGAGTTTACAGACTGGTGAGTTGATTTCCTCATTCTGATAAGTGACTCGCAGCCACATGCCACCACCATACAAAGCCAGCCACAATAAGCACCACCAACACCACCAACACGACAGCCTAAATTTAGCATAAATTTAGCAAAGCTGACAGAGACGACCAAAGCACCCCTACCTACGTCATCGATGCTTTATGGCAAGATTTAACACAGTCCTCAGAGAGAACATCATCAGTGACCTCAATTTCATTTCTGAAACAACCTACCTTTACACCACTTTTGCACATCATTAACGTAATGATAATATTTTGCTTTAAACCATGTTTCATGCCTTTCAAGTTCAAATCCATTTATGAACTATGCAATGGTCTATCTTTATCACACAAAGCAACAAACTTGGCAGAAGTGCATTTTACCTCAGATTCACAATCTTTTTCTGGCATTAACTCTTTCATTAATTCCCTTAGATTGCTTGCTCTGTTTAACTGAGCCTTTTTGAGATTTGTAGCTTTTTCAATTTTTCATGAATTGCCTTGCTTCTTAGTTACCAGCTACCTATCTGGTTTGGTTTTCCCATCATCATCAGAGTCATCAGACAGTTGGCTGTCGTTCCAAGTAATTTGTGGTAGCCTCTGTAGCCTCAGCAGGCAAGTCCAACAAATCATCACCCTTGTTCATTTTTGCTACTGCAACCAAGAAGGGAACTATACAAAATGTGTCAAATTTGAGGTGATATGCTCACATTTTCACAAACGCATGAAACTTGGTACATTTGTACAGCTTTGGGCCCTGAACATTTTAAAAAATGAAGCCGTCACAAAAATGCCTCGTTGTGGCCATGGCGGCCATTTTACTGTCCATCATAACCGAATAATGCATTTTTCATCATATCTCTTGAACCAGTCATGTTAAGGGCGTCTCTAATTACCATGGGGACCAATGAAACCTTTTACAGAAGCATTAAATTGAAAACATAGCTAGGATGGACTGGGTTGCCTTTAGAAGTGCTAACCACCATGGTCTCTATTCACTTAGGTCCATCTAACACCCATCTGTTGGACATGGCATATTAGGTGCCAGCTCAAGTGCTTGTCTCTAACAGTGTCCTCCTTGGTACACTGCGGCACCAGTGCATTCTTAGTTAGGGGGATTTGCCCCATTCCTCTTCCATTCTTTGTGAACAACTCAAGATGAGCTTCTGGTGAGATTGCAGAGAAGATGCTGGTGAAGATTCTCAGTCATCAAGGTCATGGTAATCATAAGTGCTATATCATAGGCAGCTGGACTCGCTTGAGTTTCTTGAAGATGTTTCACCTCTCATCCTCTAGCAATCTTCACCAACATATCACTAAACAATTTAGGAAGAATGCCCTTTGACTGGTACAGGAATTCAGAAGCCTCACCCAGCAATTAAAACTTTAGCAGGTTCTTGGATGAGAGGTGAAATGTATTCAAGAAACTCAAGCAAGTCCAGCTGTCTATGATATAGCACTTAAGATCATGGAGGAGGAATGTGAAGCGCTCCACTATGGAAATGACCTCCTTTGGAATGCAGTTTGGAGCCTTTGACAAAGTCATAAAGGACTCTGTAACCATGTATCAGCTTTCAAGGTATCCCATGCTGCTTTTATTCCCCTGGCTGTAAATAAAGATACTGTATCACAGCCAGTGAAGGCTTGGAACACAGGAAGGACCTTGGATTGGCAGTCTCATGGGCAGGTATGTGTCTGAAGTTCTTGCCAGTCCTATATGCCACCACTTGTGTAGGTCATTTCCACTTGCGCACCCAGTGGTGCACAAGAAACAGATCAGGTTACACTTCATATGCATAAAGAGGCATATAATACTCCGCGTGGCGGATGATGCCACAAAAGCTAACCCTACACACTCTGGACACAGATGTTGTAGTCCTAGCCACAGCACATGTGTCAGACCTGGACATTGGGGAGCCGTTAGTGGAATAAGGGACTGATGAGAACTTCAGATACATACCTGCCCATGAGACTGCGAAGTCTCTGGCAATCCAAGGCTCTTTCTGTGTTTCATGCTTTCACCGGCAGTGGTACAGTATCTGCATTTGCAGCCAGGGGAGAGTAGACAGCATGGTATACCTGGAATGCTTATGATACTTAAACAGAGACCTTCCTGACTGTCAGAGGCACACAGCATTCCAATGGAGGTCATTTCCATTGTGGAGCACATCACAATCCTCCTATATGATCTCACCAGAGGCAAACTCAACATCAGTCAAGCTCATCTTGAGTTGTTCTCAAAGAAGGGAAGAGGAATAGAGCAAATCCTCCCAACCACACTGGCACCGCACTGGTGCCGCAGTCTACCAAGAAGAATACTGTTGGGGACAAACACTTGAGGTCAGACCAAATCTTCAGTAGACTGAGGTTGGATGGACCCAAGTGAATGGAGACCATTGTGGCTAACTCTTCCACAGCTAAGCCAGTCCATCCTGAACTCTTAAGCTGTAGCTGCAAGAAAGGCTGCTGGGGCATTGTTAATGCAAAAAAGGATCCTCAAAGTGCACAGCTCTGTGTCAATGTGGAGGAGACGATAAAGGAGACAGTGAAGAATGGGTTCCACAACAACAAAACAATTAAACGTGTTTCTGGAATACATTTTTTGAAGAAAATCTGTGTGTTTGACATTCTGTTAAACTAGGTTGTTGAGGTCATACTGAATCTTGTCCTTTACAGTCATAGTCTTGTCAGGGTTAATAAACAAAATAATTAAGCTATCTAAACTCTACACAACATGTATGCAATAGATATGATATTATACAGTCTAGCCTTATTTCTCAGACACTCTGATTTCGTTCTCATGTCACTGAATTCACCATTAATTCAGCTGAAGGGTTTATGGTGTTGTAAATAGCATCATTGTAGTCACTGACCATTAAAACTCGGGGCAGACATCACCTATTCTGTGTTAACATGTTTGGTTCAGGAGATATGATGAATATGATGAACAATACATGATTTGGTTAAACTATATTGGCCGCCATGGCCACCATGAGGCATTTTTGTGATGGCTCCATTTCTATAAATGTTCAGGGCCGTAAACTGTACAAGCTACATGGTTATATGAAAAAGTAAGCATAATTTTTACACATTACGTGCACTAAAACTCAAAGTTTTGTTTCCTTTTCAGCCACCACCAAGCATGGATTTACGCCCCCAAACTGTGTGTAAGTTACACAAAGTCTAATGGATATTGTTTAGTTGTGCTAGTCATACCTCCAGGAGGAATCAATGTTGATCGGCGTCCTGCTGAATCCAAAGCTCATGGAGGTGCTGCTGGCCAAGGTGTGGTCCTTGTCCATGGGTCGTTGTCTTCACACTGGATAAGCCATAGTCGGCGTCCTTCATGTCCTCCCTCCCTGTACAGGAGCACCCCTCACCTATAAGACAATGTGCGAGGATAGGTTTAAACCTTAAAGAAAGCAATTTTTTCCAAACTATAGTGGCTGTCCATGAAGTCACTGGTGCTGCAGTGTCGGTGAAATGAACTGACGGGTGCAGCAGTCATCACCTGTTTCACAAAGCAAATGTTTACAAACGTTTACCTTTGCTCTTCTGACTTCATTTCTTGCTTACAAATATTTAAAACGTCTCCTGCATCCAGCTCAAACATCATCAACTCTTAGTTGCAGAGTAGGCCAACCACATTTCAGTTGTAGCCATGCTACCTGTAGGAACACTGTATGCTTCACGGGCATCCAACACACTTGGCTGAATTACTTTCCTGTGTGTGAATGCACACTCATTACAGGTGACTGCCGCCCAGTGTACAAAATGTGTATTACATCAAAATAAGCACAAAGGAAAACATGTGGCTCCTCCACTGACCGTCACTTTTCAGTTTAATTAGAAATAAGTCTAGGTGCCCAAACCCTGTTGTACTCATATGTCACCACTAGGGGGAGGCAAACCACCACACTAAAAGCCAAGTATTTCAAGTGGAGGCTGTCACATCACTAAATCTTTTTTTTCTTGCATATTTGCCACTGATACCAAGACAAAAGTTTGAACCATTAAACTGCTGCAATAAACCCCAATTTGTCTCTTCACGGAGGCGGAAGTAGGAGTTTTCCGAGGATCCCTGAAGGCAGCAGCAGTCAATCACACCTGGCGTTAATCAGCTGATGATTGGGCGGCTCTAAGGAGGAGCAGCTTCAGTCCTCCCTCCTCGGTGACTGCAGTGTGTGGTGAACTCCTCATACTAAACATGAAGCTGTCAGGACTGCTGCCTGTGTTTCTCCTCCTGTGGGCCGACCGGAGCAGCTCCGGGATCCAGTCTCACCCCAAACCGTCCTGCCGGTACCCGCCGTCTCAGTGGTGTCGGTCCCTGGAGATAGCGATAGCATGCAATGTGAGTGGAGTCTGTTTACAGAGATCTGTTTTTATTGTTTGCCAATATGGAGTCACAGCAGAAAATACTTCAATATTCACAAACGGTAATTATTATTATTATTATTATTATTATTATTATTATTATTATTATTATTATTATTAGATAATAATGTGGACGCATAAGAAATGCAACAACAGCTGAATATGTTTTTCTCTCAGTGATTAATGTGAAGAAATATCTATGAAATCCTCTCACAAAAGAGGGGGAAAAAAATCACCCAAATATTGAAAGATATTTTTGTTTAATTTTATTATTATTTGTTAATTATATTTTATTCTTTTTATTTACTTTATTGATGGAATTACAGGCTTTTAGAAAATTTATAACAGTCCTCTCATGTGCTTACATGTTAACAGCTGAAATGCCAAGCAGTTTTTTTCCCGTTTGTATGAGGAAAGAGTAAATTCTCTAAAAATGCTGATTGTTATTATATTTTAATAACTTTAATTTTAGTGTTGTCAGTGAGTATCGTTGTCCCAAACATGAGGGAAAAAAAAAGTCAGAGTCTGTGTTTAAATGAGAGTCATGCTTCAGAAATTGAACACCAGTGGTTCTTCATGTGACCGACTGGGTCAAAGCACACAAACACTTAATCAGTTTAAAGTTGAGCAGAAGAAAAAAAGAAAAAAACAGGAATTTGGTTTTCTTTGATTCTTGACATACAGACTTTGTTGTCTGTTTATACTAATAAAAATATAAATACCATTAATAAATTTCCCATTGGCAAGACATCAGAGGCAACAGTGACATTTGATGCCTCTATGCACAGTAAACAATGAAATGAGAAGAAGAAAAGCAAGCAGATGCTGTATTAGTCTTTAAATAGTTTAGTTATGAAATCATCTTTTTGTTTTTCACTAAACAGTTGAATTAATTCTCCCCTCTGGTTTAAAACAGGATCTTGTCTGCTCTCACCACCTTATCCGCTGTTTCTTCTTCTGCATACCGTTTGCTTTCAGGAATATTTTTATTGACCTGGCAGAACGTGCTGCATGCTATTGTAACCAAACTGGAAAAGAGATTCAAACGCTCAAGATGATTCCTTTTGCTTAGCTCACTACAACCTCTTTTATAAACTTATACATAAACATAACATGACACTTTCCAGAAACCAAAGTTGCTGTGTCATATATTCATCCTGCAGGTCCAGAAGCAGTGTATGGAAGTGAATGCTACCAGATCCTACCAAGCTGTTCCTCCAGTATCTGTCACTCTGTACTATGAGAGTCTGTGTCCAGCCTGCAGAGTCTTCATCACCCAGCAGCTTTTCCCCACCTGGATGATGCTGCAGGACATCATGACCGTCACTCTGGTCCCCTACGGGAACGCTAAGGTACACTGATCCTTATCCTCTGTTAATATATTAACTAACTATCATCACATGCCTCTGAAAGTTGACTCTCCTCTTGTAGGAGCTTCCTTCAGCCAACTCTCCCTTCACCTGTCAGCATGGAGAGCCTGAATGCAGAGGAAACATGATTGAGGTTTGAATGTATCCTAACGTGCATTGCTGCTCTTCCACATTTCAATCAATACAACATGATGACTTTAGATTGATCTGCTTCTCAGGCCTGTATCATCCATTTAACTGGACATACAGCATTTCAGATCATCTACTGCATGGAGTCGGCTGCAGATGTTCTCAGTGCTGCCCAGCCTGTGAGTATCCACAAAATAAACTGAGGCTTTGCACAAAACACAGTAGGGAGTGACGTGATTTTTTAAAAACATGTAAAATCCCTAAAGACTTTTGCTTTAATCTAATGTGTTGCTGATGTTGTTGTCTCAGTGTCTCCAGCTGTACGCGCCCTCCGTCACCTGGTTGAGTGTCGACTCCTGTGTGAGGGGAAGTCTGGGTCACCAGCTGATGCACGCCAACGCTGTCATGACCAGAGCGCTGAACCCCCCACACACACACGTCCCCTGGGTCACCTTCAACGGGGTAAAACACTATGCACACTTTTAATTCTAAAAATATTCCTCTGGACCCAGTTATAATGTCATTTATTGAGCTGTTGATGAGTTAAAATGTGTAAAGTTGAATAATTAATAAGGAACTCAAATCATAAAATACTAAATGTCCTTCATGATATTATGAGGTCAAATAATTATCTAATGGAAGTCTCAGATTCATGATGGATTGATGGATGTAGTTTGGGATAATACTGTGCACCACCTCTGGATTTTTGCCTGTTGTTGGAAAGCTGCTGATGACGCTCTTAAAAATTGATGTGTAATGAGGACGAAAAGTTGTACTCGAATTAAAGATCATCAGCTGTTTGTGTGTTTCAGGAATACACAGAGGAGAATGAGGACAAGGCGATGTCGTCCCTTTTCAGTTCTGTTTGCCAACTCTACAAGGTAAGGACTTGTTTTGTTTTAGTTTTGTTTCCAGCTACTGTGACTCTACACACGGGATATTAAAGTAAAATACATGTTAGAAATACATGTAAAGAAGATTGGGGAATCTTCTCATAGGGTAAAAATGAAAAAGAAGCCAAAGATATTTTCATTTTATTTATTCAATTTTTTTCAGATTTTTTTCTTTCTTTTTCTTGCTACTACGTCTTTCCATTTTATTTTTTTATCTGTATTATTTATTAATTTATTTTTAAAAATAATTTAATAATAACAATAATAATAATAATAATAATAATAATAATAATAATAATAATAATACCTTTATTGATATTATTTATTACTGTGTCTAAATGTATAGTGGTACTTTTTTTCTGCACTGTTTTTAACTATTTATTTTCTTGCTTTTAGCTCTTGTTTTTAATGATCTATCGCTTTTAATGTATTTCTCTTGTAAAGCACATTGAATTGCCTTGTGTATGAATGGTGCTATATAAATAAAATTGCCTTGCCTTGCCTTACTTAACTTTTGTATATTTACTTGTCCGTAAATTGGCATTGAAACATAGACTCTGATTCATGTCGGCCCTGAAAATGTCAAACAAAACTGTGGGTGAAAAAAAAGAAGCCAGAGTGAAGGAGGGAAAATGAGTACTTTAAAAATATTAAACATTTATTCTATATATTTGACCATTACTGCTCACCCTGACAGTATGTCCCAGTATTAACATACAGATAGTGTTTGTTACTATATTTGACAGTTATAATCTGTGAGCGTCAGATGTGTGAAATGTGTGTGTAACTGTGTGGTGTCTTCAGGGTGTGAAGCCTCCAGCCTGCACAGGAGCTCCAGTCAGACTGAACAGAGGCTTCTGCTGAACTCGACAAAACCAACTTCAACATGTGTGAAAACAGTAAATCATAACCTACATAATGTACCAAATAACAGCATCAAAAAACATGTTAACATATATTTAGTTTGTAGTTTATAACAACAGTGTGGATGTGGTATACTGTTCTTTTTTAGGGGCCTCTTGGGATTTGATTGTAAATTGAAATAAATCTCTTGTCTTATACATATTATAGTGCTTAATTAATTATTTCTGTGAAGATCCTGTGTCAGTGTCATCAATTAAGAAACAAAACAACCAGTCGGTTAAATTTCCATATTATTTATTGGCATTTTCCACTTGAAACACCCTGAACTCCCGAGAGTCTTTTGGCTTAGAATGAGAAACAAAAATATAGTTTTTATTTTCTTTGACAAAAACATTGGAGTGGCAGGCGTACACTTGTAAAGCATACTTGATTTTTAGGCTCCAGAACATAAACTCAAAAGTCCTATGTTACAGTACTTTGTCCGGACAGACATGTTTGGAGAATAAATATCTTTTATAGAAGTTTGCACAACACAGAGGCTGAGGAAACAGCATGAACATTAATGGTGGCAGTATCAGCGCGACACAATAACGGAGAGGGAGCAGCGACTCTCCTCGTCAACACATTTAACACTGTATGGCACCGATGTCTTCTTGTAAGGGGCCACGCTGCTGTGTTTTAACATGCCGATGTGAACGCCTCCGAACTGAGCAACATTCAGCTGACTGGAAACTGAAATCAGGCGTCGTTACATGTTTCAAATCCACAGTAATCCCACATGATGAAAATGCAGTGCTGATTTGTATGTTAAGCATTTTTTTCACATGAATGTGACATGTTTTCTTCATTCAAAATGGAGGAATTTTTATAATGAGGGCTTCAAATGATTGATTTGTACTTGACTTTATCTTGTGCATTGTTTCCTGTTCTGCCATGGTGACTGTCACTGCTTCAGTGTGTTCAATACTAACAGGAAAAATTAAAACTCATCAGTTCCTGTGTTAACACTGCTGTGTTAAAGCCGTCACACAAAGGGAGGCATGTAATGTAATTTAGATGACTTCCATGATATAAACTGTATTAAGAACATACTTCCTAAAGACAGAAGTTTCACATAAATCTTAAGAATCAGAGGTTTTAAGAGAGGAAGAATAATTTTCTTTGTCCTTCATCATTTTTGAATAACAGCAGCTTCATATTTCAAAATATTATACAAAGTGCTGACTTCTAACTGTTTCCTTTATCTACTGCAGTTAAAGTAAATGTGCTTTTTAACCAGCGTTTAACAGGTACTGTACCTGCATACCAGCCATCTGAATTAAAAGAGCTTGAGTTTGATGGGTGGACTTGAGGTTTATACTGAGTACACTATTAAATATTAGATACATTTGGTACTAAGACCCAAAACTAGGAAAGGAAGAGGAAGCTACGTGGATGATTGCAGAGCAACTTTTTGGAAAGGATGCAACCTTCATTACTGCACAAGTCTTTCATGTATAAAAACAAACAAACAAAAAAAAGATTTATTACATAAAAGGCCACAAGGATCAGAAAACAAAGCCTTTTCTGTCATTTCTTGTGTGCAAGTATAAACTTTGGCCTGTCGATGAGGCGAGGTCCGTGAGTAATCAGAACATCCAAATGCTCTGGCATTTTCATCATGGAGTTCTAAGGGGTTTTGACACTGGAAGCTAAGTAAAGTGTGTAACCAGCAAAACATGAAAACGACATTATTCTTTATGTGTAGCTTGATTTCTCTTTTGATTTTTTTTTTTAGAATATGTGTAAGGACAGAAGCAGAATATTGCTGCTGTAATAAGAAATTTAAGATTCATATGTACTCTGATTCTTTGAGAGCAGTCTCCTTGCTTCTTCTAGTTTTCCAGAAATGTAGCTGAAACACCACTCTGAGGCTCGGCATGTTAAAAACAGCACAATGGTCCTTTAACACTAGGCTCCAGCCGCTCCCATCACATGTAAGGCTGATCGATATAGCTTACTAGCTGAGTTAATGAAATACTGTTAGACTAGTGTTTTCTATGACTGCCGGACCAGGAAGTGCATCATCTCTTCGTGTAGTGCTCGTTTGCTTCCTGGTCTCTCTACCTCAGTGACGGCGACAAACACTGCTCTAGACTGAACATGGACTCCTGAAAACTACACACACATTCTCGAGTCTCAGCTATCTGATTAAGGAAAGGGCTGAACGGACTGATCATGAGCTGCACAAAAATCTAATAAACGGTCTGCTTTAAATACTGTTAACACGTATCATTCGTAAAAACTAACACTATAAAGTCAATGACTTTGATACAATCATCAGGTTAAAATCTCTAGTGTAAAAATGTACAGCATCGTAGGCTGGCAGGTGTTGGTGTGTTTTAAACACTAATGGCACACAGTTATCCCAGTCGATCTATCAAATAAGACTGATAACCTGATGGAACACAATCTAGTTTGTTTGATCCGATTCATTCCTGTCAGCACCTTCTGATCTCTACATCAGATCCTGTCGGCAGGGTGGGACAGTAACACCACGGTGACTGATTGGAATTATAAGATCCCTACAGAAAACATTTAAAATAGCAGACAGGCCTTTAACTTGGGCTAATGTTTAACTTCTGTGTGAAATGTTCAAGAAAAGGAACAATCATATTCACTTGAGGTTTGAGTATTGAAGAGCTTTTCTAGCTCACATAATTTTAACTTGTAGGTGAGGAAATAATGACAGGTCCCGACTAAAGGATAAATGTGGTGACATGACACATTTTTCCTTATTGAGCCCATGAAAAGACAAAAACCCATGATGAACTGATCAAACTACCAAATACTGACTGTGTAGCAGCTTATCTGTGCCATAGAACTCCACTGTTGTGCAAAAAAAACACCAGTGAGCCACAATATTGCACTAAGAGACTCCTTCATTATGAACGTGTGCACTGTTGTCGGACAACATACAACTAAGGTGTGTTAATGTGTGAATTACTGCTGATTGAGTCATGTTTGCTAAAAAGTAAAATTCCCTTTTAAAAAAATGAAAATAAATATTTTGTGACACATTTTAAATTATTTACATCCCTGGAGGAACAATAATATTTGGGTTGAGACCACAGATGGAAATGGAAAGTCGTAAATATATTGAGAGACGGTTTTGGTCTTTTCATGGGATCTGTTGACAACAGGAAAAATATATAAGTACACCTGCAATATCCTTAAAGCTTTGAGGAAGAAGAGCAGGCTTTTATCAATTTGTAGGTGAGGCTATGTATGAGCATAACTGGGACCACTTATCAATTCAAGTTCCAAAACACTGAGTAGTGGATACAAAAGCAGAGGCATCAAGACTCTGAAAAAGACTTTTCAGATTCAGAAAGGCTGCTGTTTTTTGTCAGGAAGATTCCCAGTATCAAGCTTCAGATGTTTTCAGAGAACAGTGCAGTTTTAAGTTTGCCTTAAAGAGAGAGATGCAGCCCAGGTAGATTTGTTGGTTGCACCTGTATTTGGTAATAAAGGGGCAGTCAGTTTGCACAGAGCTCTTTTCTAAGGCTGTAACTAATGCTTTGTTTCATTATCAATTAATCTGCCCATTATTTTGTTGATTTATCATCTTGTAAATAAAATGTCAGAAAGTAACTAAACACCTACCTTTAAAGCACGCCATGATTTTGCCAAGGAGGACACGCTCCTGGATCAACTTCCCTCATAGAACTCCAGGGCCAAGATTGCACTCAACCAATCACAGCCCTCTGACATCATCAGTGTGCTTTCAAACTCACTTTATGCTTCTTCAGAGCTAAGCTAGTTTCCCAAAGTGAAGTTAATACAATTAAATAAAATCCTCAGCAACACTGAACAAAAACCTTAAGCTACTCTAGGGTTAGTGAGTTAGCTTGCTAACTAGGTAGGCTAAGCTAACAAGTAAGCTTGCCAATAGGCTTGAATGTTAGCGCGTTAGCTTGCTCAGTAGGTAGGCTATGCTAACATGTAAGCTGTTGACTAACAAAGAATAACGATAATGGTATTTTTCAGTTACAAATTCCTGTGGTTCACACATTTTCCCTCCTTTTTTCCATGTTGATCCTGGATAGATTTGGTTAAGTTTATCCAGGACCATCATCATCATCATCATGGCTATTCATCAAGTTTTGAATAGGCTTTTAAAAAGGAGGGAAAATGTGTCCTTTACAGGTCTTTGCAACTGCAAAATGCTTTTATCCTTCCTTTTAATGTCAATGAACAATATTTTAGCCTATTGTCAAGTTTACTCGTTAGCATAGCCTACCTACTTAACAAGCTAACTCGCTAACCCTGCAGTAGCTTACAAGGTTTTTCTTCAATGTTACTGAGGATTTTGTTCAATTGTACTAACTTTGATTTGGAAAACGAGGTTTGCTCTGAAGAAGCACAAAGGAATTTTGAAAGAAGCACAGGAGCAGCACACTGATGATGTCAGAGGGCTGTGATTGGTTGGTCGCAATGTTGGTTTAGAAATGCCATGAGGGATGCTGATCCAGGAGCATTCAATTGGTTTGTTTTATCCGACCATTAGCCCATAAATCCAAAGCTATTTGATGTATTGTCATCTATGACAAAGAAAAGCATCTAATTGTCACATTTATGAAGCATAAAACCAGCAAATGCTTGGCCAAAATGATTATTTGAATGTCAAAAAAGTTGCCAATTAATTTTCTGTTAATCATCTAACTGATAAACAACTAATCGTTGCAGCTCAACTCAAATAAAGCTTCTCATAAAACAGAAGGAGTTTTATAATTCCAAAATTATCAGACCGCCAGAAGGTTGTGAAAGTTGTTGTTGGCTAAATTAGTTTGTGAAATTCTGAATCAACCAACCAGTGTGTGTTCCTGCCCCACCTACTGGTACCTGGAGTCAGACGTCCTGTGCTGTGTCTGTGTGATCAGTAGGCCTACAGTGGACGAAGCCCTTTGTGTGACTGAATAGAAGAGCTGAAGGGCAGAGACAGTAAAGTGCTACTGCGGACCGGAGGCACCCTGATAAAAAATGCTTTTCAAGCACATAAACACAGACAAGACCAGCAAATGTACAACAAAGAACTGTTCAAAACCCTAAAACAATGACACCATTTAAAATCATCTCAGGTAAAAAAATAAAGCCCAGACTAATTATACAGGTGGTGTCTTTTTTCACTTTCAACAGGTGAGACTGTGGCACAGTCTTCTTCAGTGTTCAATCTCTGTGGTGCTACAAGCTGGTTTAAATATATATTATTTGATTGCTTCAGTTGCCAAATTTTCTGTTAAAGGGTTTTAATCAAATGTAGAGACACGCAGGTCGAACAAAGTCTCAGTTGTCTCTGGTTTGGAGGTAAATCAAACAGGAAAGACAGTTTGGGGTGGAGGGTCAGGTCAGGGGTACCCACTACATCCGTGCTACATTAGATTTATGTTTCTCTTCATACCCTGAGGTTTAGGTCCATCGCTTCTCTCTCATCTACATCTTGTATTTGGTAAAATGATTCATCTCTCACATCATTCTCAAAAAAAGAAATCATACTCACTTATTCCCACTGGACTCAGTAATTTCATATCCTAAAATTAAAACTATGGTGCAAAATAATTTCCAAAACCCTGTCGGACCACCGTGATCTTCATTCTCATGTCTGAATGTCACAAAAAAATTTTTTTGGAGGAAGACATTTCCTTTACCTTTTGTTCTTGTTAGAGTATCACTTTTCTTCCCAGTTAAAATGCAGCGGTCTTTGTCTGGGACACTCTGAACTGAAGCTACAACAAAGCAGGACGGGACATAAAGGCCGATCGGGCACCCAAAGGTGGCTGAAATGATTCTTCTCGTTAAAATAGAAAATAAAACAGAGGCAAACATCCCTCTGTTCTCCAGAGCGGGTGTCTCCAGTGTAAAGGGACTGTAGTGATTTTACAGACTTTATTGGTAAAGGCCTGCCCTGCCTCCGTCTCTCCACATCCAGCGCTCATGTCTCTCAGGCGGAGCAGGTTGTGCTGGTTGTTACGTGCCCATACGCAGGCACGCCACCACCCCGTCACCCTCCTGGCTCAGTTCTCTGTCCCTGTTGGTGCCCTCCCGTCCCGGGGAGGCCAGCGTCCTGTGGGGGCTCCGCACCGACATGGCAGCCAGATTCAGGGTCCGAGACGGGTGAGGCGAGGGGGGGCGGTACCTGCTGGTGCTGCTGCGGGGGTCTGGGGACAAAGAGGGGGAGGAGGAGTCCCGCTGCCGCTCCCCACCTGAGTGGGAATCCTCCTCAAGGGGACTCTCCAGGTCAGAATCCAACTCCAACTCCTCCTCATCCTCCTCCTCTTCCTCCAGAGTGAGTTCAAACTGGAACTTGTCTCCTCCTCCTCCTCCTCCTCCTCCTCCTCCTCCACCTCCTCCTGAAGGGACGGCCCCTCCTGCTTCCACAGCTGCTCCTCCTGGCATCACCTCCGCATGGTGCTCCTCGGGGCTGGAGGGCGACGGGCTGCGGGGGATCATGCTCTGGTACCACTCCCTGTTGTCCTCCAGCGTGTCCAGGATGTCCTGGGCGTCTGGGTGCACCAAGTCGGCCCATGTCTCCCATAGAGGGTGGACTACGTAGTCGATAAAGCCCACCTAGTCACAGAAATAATTTTAATAACACACAAATAAGACAGGGATAAAAGATGTCAAACAAAACAAAAAGACATATTAGTGCATACAGTAAAGCTTTTTTAGTGAAGATGAAGGTTGCTAAGATGCTGTTTAGGGACATGTTGGATGAATACCAGCACTGTGTGTTGGGACTGAAACATGTCAGTGTGACAGAGACGGTGTTTAGACTGTAGACATATCAAATTTGTTTTTTGAATTCAGTTTTAACTGCTTTTAAGTGTCCATGGACGACCCTAACATGCAAATCAAATAAACTGGTGACCTTAAGTGTGTGGTCTCTATAACACAGGTAATATAGTTGCTCAGGTAGGATTTGTGTGTTAAATTATCTGAGGTCGCTGACGACACAGGCATGCATGTACACTTCCATGAAACCAAAACAACAGGCATCAGGTTACAAAGAGGAAAAATGAACTTGTTGCTCTTTTTAACACCCAGGATGTGATTTCAGTGACCTCGTCCAGTGCATCGCAGATATCAGACTTACGATGGTGAAGATTTTTTTCAGCTTAATCACAACAAAACAGAGATTCTGTTAGTAGGACCAAAGGCTGAGGAATGAAATTCAATCTTTGTTAACTCTCCTGTCTGTAAAACCATGTGTGCATGTCAAAGTGAGCATGACTGTGGTGTGTGTGATATTAGATGCTGATCTTAACTTCCAGAAACGCAACTAAAAGGTCTGACCTCATAACTCCTATTTTATCTTCTCTACACTTGCTCCCAATAAAAACAAAAAAATGATTTTAAAATACTTCTTATTGTTTTTAATTCTTAATGGTTTAGCTCCATCCTATGTTGTGGACATGCTCACAGATTACACACCAGAGAGATCCCTTAGATCATCAAATAAAGGTCGAGTCACTGTACCTAGAATCACCTCTCAATCAGCTCATGGTGCTTTCAGTCATTATGGTCCTACTCTCTGGAATTCTCCTCCACATGAACTATAGTACAGAAGTTTTTAGTTAGGTTTTAAAGTGTATTTTGATTTGATTTAGGAATTAGAATTGTTATTACATCACCCTTTTTAAGAATAATGGGGTTAATAATAATAATAATAATAATACCTTCTTATTTTGTTTGTTTTTATCATGTCCTGCTTGTTCTGATATTTTATGTTTGTCGTGTATGATGAATCTTAAGCACACTGAGTTTACGCTTGTTGTATGAAATGTGCTATATAAATAAACTTGACTTGACTTCAGTGCTACATGTCTAGTGAGAGCGCTGCAAAGGATCATTTTAAAATGATGCTGAATTTTTGGAGACACATCTGTGTTTAGAGTCAGATTTTGAAAGACATTAATGTGTGTTTGCGGTCTGGACTTGATAAAAGTAATTTAATTTAAATGTATGGAATATTTTTTACTGTATCTATTACAAAATTATAATCTGCCAAAAACAAAAAATATGCACCATGTGTGTAATAAAATGCTGATGTAATGTTTGATAAACAAGCAACCAATACTGATAGTCTGCAGCAGCAAGATGGCAAACAGCATGCTGGCCAGAAAACACAGAATCTGGGCACATTTTAAAACAATTACTTTAATAGAATAATCACAGGATAATGATTATGTAATTCATGACAAATATGATGGACACAGTAATGTTTACCTGTAATCATTAGATTACTTAAAGTTTTGCTTCGATGCTCTCTCATGTTAACCTGAAGACTGAAACTAACTTTAAACTCCTTGAACTTTCTATTTTTTTCTCAACATCCATGTGTGTCAGTGGGTGTTACCTGGGTCTTCTCTATGGAGGCGTTGTGTTTGTCACACATGGGACTGATCTCCATGCCCTTGTCCCGTTCTCGGTCTCCCTGGGTGAAGAACTCCACCATGATGCGGTCCGTCCACTGGCGGTAAAGCTCCAGTGGTTTGGTTGGGTTGCTCAGGTCGGCACAGTGGACCATGTTCTGCAGAACCTGGAGGAGACACGCTGAGTCAGACCCTGCTGGTGATGTGTCATGTTTTCAAAACCTCACCAACAATTACTCAGAAAAAGCAGCTGTCATAACTTAAGAAAGGTAACTAGCTTTCCTTACATTTAATATGTAGATATATTAAATGTAAGGAAAGCTAGTTACATTTAATATGTAGATATATTTTAACTCTACAACGATACACAGATACAGATGCAATAACCACTGTTAGTCCAGCAGGTGGCAGCAGTTTCACACCAACTCCCCAGTGAACATAGGAACTGTTCAGTTTGCTGCGACTGAAGGTTTGAGTGGAAACATGCTGCTGCCAGAGTCTGAGACTCTACTGCTTATTGTTTACTGCTCACTATCATTATGGCGACAGATTATTGATCCATTTCTAAAATCTGACACAATTCACTGAGACTGAAACATAAAACCACAAAGTCTGTGCTGCTGATCATACTGTTAATACTGGATTATATGTGTAATATGTAGAGTCATAATGCTGATGATCAGTTACTTGTATTATGGTTGTATACTAGTAAGCAGGTCATACACTGTATAATTACTGTACAGTATAAATAGCTATATATTCCATTGTCTGTATGGTATGTCTACAGCATCATGTACTTTACAGAGGACAGAAGCTGGCAAATTAAAAATTAATGAATAAATGACTCAGTAATACCTAGATATGTCAATAAATGTAACCAAAAATATTAAAAAGAAATGTAAGCAGTAATAAATTGAAAAAATGTGAACATGAAAGGATATTTTTGTTTAAATTTGCTTCTTTATTTATTTACCTTTGTATTAATTTCCCTATTTATTTACTTCCCAATATAATTCCCCCCCTTATTTATTTGTTTCTTTGTTCATTTAATATACATTTTTATTTTATTTTATTTTATTTTTATTTTAAATGTATTTTGAAGTGTATCAAATATATTTAACATACATTTAATTATTTTATATATTAGGGGTTGTTTGTTTTTTTAGCCAATCCTCCAGTGTAGGACTTATGAATACTACACTTTATTCAGTACATATATTCTGATGTTCAGTGTCAGCAGGGTGTTTTCTCACCTGGATGCGGTCAGAGTAGTTGTCTAGCAGCAGGACTCCCAAACTAGTCACCTTCTTGGTCTCCACCATTGTTTTCATGTCCGCCAAGAAGTTCATGTGTTTGGACATATCTGTGGCAAGCACCTAAAGAAGACATTCAACACATCATCAATTAAATGATGCATGTTCATGCTTCCTGTGTGACCTGTAGGCTACATGCCGTCTGTATTATGTGGTGTTCTCGTGTTCTTTCTTACATTTCCAAAGACACCAGGTTGTGCTGGGTTTAACAGTGATTGGAGTGTTATGAATGATGCAGGAAGTGTGTATGTGAAATGATTCTGATCATACTTTTAGTCTTGCAACGACTCTTTTTTAAATTGAGGTGAGGTACAGTTTTGCACATATTTGTCCTTGCACTTCTTTAAAATTTTCCACTATTGCAAAGAGTTACTAAATCTGATTCAGGAAACAAAAACACACAAAAAAGAAAAGAAAAGAAAACAAAGACACTGTTTTCTTGCCTCTCTGCTTCAAGTTATACCTAGGGTGGGTCAACAACAAGACAAAATCTTTTTCTCATGATTCAGATTGTTCTGCATGTTCTGGCCGACTCATAATGTGATAAACCTTTATATATACTGCATCAGCAGGGTTTTACTGTACACAAACTTTACAGAACTGAGAACAAAAGAAAAACCACACTGTAAAGCAACAGTTCAGGAGTTCATGTACAACACGGCTGAAAATTCTTTCAATATGTCGTGTGAAAACTGCATCAGACTCACCATGTCGATCACCATCTTGCGGAGGGAGTCTCTTTGTTTCTTGCTGAGGTTTTGGAAGATGTCACAGTTGTCTTCTTGCAGCAGTTTGAAGCCCACAGCGAGGTGGTGATTCTCCAGCACCGAGGCATCATTGTACATAAGTGCTAGCTCTGAACCTGCAGAAATGTAGATTAAAGTTGTTAAAACCATGAAACAGAACACCTCAAACATGATTCTAAATATAGCTTTCTGAATCAGTGCTAATGGTAACCTAGTCAAAATGAAGCAGACCTAGCTCAGCTGCAGCGTAAGAAGTCAATACGTCAGTGTGATTATGAGGAACACACAATTTAATTGTTCTTGGTTACTATAAAGTGTTTGAAAATCGTCCTGAATGCTTCTTGTCCCAGCAGTTATTAAGTGTTGCCCCATTTGAACATATTTCTAACTGTTACATTTTTGAAATGTTTCAACTTTTATATCCTTGAAACGTAGGTAATGTAATTGGCCTGCAAAAAAACTATTTATCTTAAAGTAAAAAACATTTCTTTTCTAAAGATAAATCTAAAATTGCTCAAGCATAAAATTTGAATTTGAATTTTTATTCTGTTGTGGTACAGTAGTTGTGTGAAAAGAAACATACTTGTGTTTATTAGAAACTGGTTTGTGACTCCTGGGTGGTCGACATCATGGATGGCACTAGCAAACAGAACAGCCATGATCTCCAGGTCTGTGAACACCGCCTGGGATGAACAAAGAACAGGAAACATATGAATTAAAAACAAATACATTGATATTATATAGTAACTATAACTTAACCAGAAGCTACAATAACATCAGTTTCCTCAGCTCACCTCTAAAGCGGGGGTGGACAGGAGGACGTGGGTGGACTGCACCACATCAGCTGCATGAATGTTGTTGTGATAAGCTACGTCCGCATGGTAGTGGTCCTCCAAGGTCATCATTAAGGTGATGAAGGTGTCACTTGGGATCTTAAAGGTTTTCAGAAGGTCCCGTTCCTGACAAGGTGAAGAGGAGAGAATCAGAATCACATCAAGTATGGACCACAGTTTTTCTCTTCAGTGGCGTTGGTTCAAATGACTAAGAAAGTTGCTTTAAGGTTAGCTGCAACCAACCAACTTCATTTACAGGTTTTAAGTTTTATAACGTATCACATCCTCATAATTTTTCACCTCTCTTGAAAAGTGAGCAGACTTTGAGTTGAGGGATCCTCATACCTGGAAGACGGAGTACATGATCACCGTCAGAGGGCGGTTTCCAGAGTATTCTGCTATCTTGAATATATCCAGACCCCAACGATTAATGTCCTCGACCTCCTGGAGAGGGAAAACAGGACACCTGTCAGCCAAAGTGTATTTGTGTGTGTTTCTATGTCTGTGTCTGTGAATGTGTGTGTGGACCCACCTTGCCAAGCAGGCTCTCGTGGGGTGTGCTGACTCCAAAGCGGGGGATGCAGGCGGGTGCTAAGCTGGGGCTCTGTGTGGGCTTTTTCACACCACTGATCTGTGACATTGGCCTTTTCTTCTTCTCCTTCTCCTTAGAAGGCGGAGACAAGATCTCCACGTCATGTTGTTTCTCTGCAACGTGTACAAACAGACATAGACGCATACTGTTGAATATTCATGTGTCTTCAAGTCATTCCAAATATTCAGACTTTGCTCAATTGTTCCACATTTGCGCCACTGACAAAGGGATTGTGTCATATTCAAGCAGGTAAGCTATTATTACAACACAAATTAGATGCAGCAAATTTCTTATAGATAATTGTCTTATAGAGCTACATCAACACCTCTTAAATTAAACAAAATGTAACATTGTGTAGGAGGCGTGTAGGTTTTCATTCACACCTTGACGAATATGATCTGGCTGACAGCTGTTAGTAACCACTGATTACAATCAGCTATATTTTCTACTGTAACCCTGCACGAGCTAACGTAAATCATAAAGTATGTTTATTAGCCATTAGTCACATTCATAGTGTCATTGTTTTCCTTCTCTAACAACTGACCGAGACAATGCCTCACCTCAATGGGCCTCATTCACCAACTGTTTCAATAACAAATTTCTTCTTAAAACCCATTTACACAGTTTTCACGAGGATTCCGACAGTCACCGATGTTTTTTTATTTGGGATATGTTTTTAGGTCAGAACAGAATTTACGCACACACACATTTTGTGCTGAGGTGTTTGTGCAATAATTGATTATTGTGTTTTCATCAATTCTACAGTTGTATAGTATTTCATAGGATTTAAATTATAATATAATAATATAATAATATTGTTAAAATGTATACATTTTTTAAATAATTATTTTCATTATTTTACAAAAAGCATTATGTTTTTTTTTTTTTAAATAAACACAACACTAACATTTCAATTCACATCAGTTATGTTAATGGGGGCCATGCCATCTTATAATTAGTGATTGATCATTCATGTAAATATCTTGGGCAGACGGGACAAAAAGTGACAAAGCAGCATTCTGAGTAAGTTATTAATAACTTAGGGAGACATTGTGTGAAATAGTCCACCTTCTCTCCCCCTCTCTCTGTCTCTCAAACACACCTTGAAGCATTCGTCTCTGTCCTCAGCATCCCATGTATCTTTTTATGTTATTATATATCCACTAAAAATGCCACTAAATATTTCAGTCTGTTTGGCGTTCACTTCCTGCAGGAGAGATTTTGGTAAATGAAACCGTTCTTCAGCTTCAGTGGACCAAGATTTTAAAAGTTAAGCTTCTTGTCAAAGAACACTTGAATGTCTTTGCCTGAACTTTGACTGTAACTGATTTTGACTTCTTCTGTATCAATGGGGTTGTGTTGGAAATGTGCAATTAGCAGTAGTAGAACGCACGATGTCTGATTTATTATTATTTTTTAATGTTTATGATATTAGCAGTACTGTTACTATTAGTGCTTCTACCAACTATGGTCTCTACCTCTGCTGCTGCTGGTCCACTACTACAATCCTGCTACCATCAACTACTCAACTACAATAACCACTTATACTATCATTAATACTGCTGATACAAATGTTATATTTGTCATGAAACGGTTTAAACATTTCGGTTATCAGTACAATTGCAGTATTGTTAAAATGTGTTGAACATGTTCAAACATGTACTGATACACACACTAAATCATTTCAGTTTTAACCTGTACTAATGCACAAGCAGTCTTTTTCTGAAATGCTTGCTTGAGTGTCTGTGTCACTGGAGATGAGAACCAGGCACCAGTGGCATTACTGGGTTTGCCCACTCTGTTAACAGCAAAGCTGAAAAAGCTGCGGTGTGCTGGTACCGGTGTCCGCCATGTTTCCAGTGAGTGATGCAAAAAAAAAAAATGTTGCGTGCTACGCCTTGCCCACCTGCGTCTGGGATTCTGTTGCTAACTTTGATTGATGCTGCAATGTATTTACTGAGAGTTTTTCAAAGCACAGCAATCAAACACGGTTTAAAGATAATTAAAACTATGCAACAGTAATACTAACCATGGGGAATTTTACTGGGGTTTATTGTGAAACCGGTAACCGTTTGATCTCTGATTATACTGTCAGCATTTAAATAATCATGCACAGTTACAGGTGTGAGAACCACTAACACTACAATTATTATAGTGGGTGCATCAGTTAATACAAATTCTACTACCAATACTGCACCTGCCGCTACTGATACTTCACTAATACTGCAGCTGCTAACATCACAACAGCCTCAACTAAAACTACTAGTTGTACAATTGTAAGTGTTATAGTTGTACATGTTTTCAGCTGAGGTAAGACGGGCAGGCTAAAAGGAGATGTGTTCACAAGTAAAGGATGTGTCACATACAGATCTTCACCTAAATATTACACAAATAGACACGTAGATACGTCATTTTTGCTATATCATGCATGTTCTCCCTGTGTCAGCTCCAGCTTCCTCCCACAGTCCAAAGACATGCAGGTTAATTGGTGACTCTAAATTGCTCGTAGGTGGGAATGTGAGCATGAATGGTTGTCCATCTCTATGTGTCAGCCCTGTGATAGTCCGGCAACCTGTCCAGGGTGTACCCTGCCGCTTGGCCAATGTCAGCTGGGATAGGCTCCAGGCCCCACCACGACCCTCAAGGTTACGGAAAATGAATGAATGAATGCTAAATCAACACAACAATGTGTCTAATTTGGGAAAGTGTGCTTCTTTTCAGCATAACACAGCTAAAATCTGTGTTAACTAACTTGTGAATAAATACACTTCGCATTGCTCATGTAGATCATATTCAGTATAAAACACAAATTCTTTTAAACAATTAAAGACCTTTTTAAGGCAGTACATGTGGTATGTAAAATCTAATTGTAACTTAAAAATAGAATTAAATTTAGATTTAAATCTCAGCAATATGTTATTCACGTATGCTGTATTTACTGTATACAGACCACGGTTGGAAGGTCAACACAAACAGGAATGTATACAGGTATGATTCAGTACACCTGCAGTATACAGCTAGGTATTTTCTCAGAGCAAAACAAGGTGTACATGAAGAGGGCTACATGGCAGTAGTTGCAGAATGCCTGTAGTAGAAAGCTAAGGATGATGGGTAAAACCGGTCAGCTTCTCAGGAGCTCAGCATTGTCCTGAGCTTGATGACAAAGCGCTTCTCGTGTTTTTCCAAATGTGGGTTAGAGAAGGCTTCATCGTGTCGACAGGTTGGAGATTTATTTTTCTAACCCACAGTGGAGCTTGTAGTCCTTTAAGCAAAAACACGGATATCATCAAAACAAGGTTTCCACTGACAGAATCAACAAAATCTCCATATGACTTGTTGACACGAAGGTGATGTCCCAGCTGACATGATAGTGTTGAAAATGACTCATCCGTATTTGTACAAACCGAGGAAATAATGATCCCATTTTGACATCACTGACAGCCTGCGTTACCTCACGTCCACAGATCATCCTCAGTGTTTCACATCCTTCTTTTTTATTAGACTGCTTGAACAATATCCAGATGTGAGCCCAGATACAAGCACACGCCACCATAAGGATGCAGAGCGACCTGAGTGGCAGCGTCACACGAGGCGCTGTCTGGCCTCTCTCACCTCTCTCACAGTGCCTCCTCTTCCTCACACCCAAAACCATGGTGTTCATTTCCAAATGCAGCTGGGCTTGATGCCGAGGTACTCATGTCAAAACGGCAACCGACTGACAGCTCCATCCTCGTTTGGCGAGACCTCCATCCTGCCGGCACGGCTGCTGAAGACTGAGCCTCCTATTGATGCAACACGCCGTCTAATAATATTGCACCCTGTTGCTACGACAACTCCACACAATGTGTCCGGGAATGCTGTCTGTCGCCGCGCCTCCTTCTCTTTTAGGGAAGGAAAAATCCTCACCTTCTTCATCCCTCCTTATTAACCAACACTCCTCCCCTCCTTCCTCTGCTTTGAAATCATGCTCTCTTCATTTAAAAAAAAAATCCTCTTTACATTATCAGTTTCTCCCTCCTTCTCCTTTCTTGCCTTCCAAATGCTGATATTCCCCTCTCCTTGACTCTTTACAAATCCTCCTCTTTCACTTTCTTTCCCTCAAAAACAACCTGTTCCCTCTCTCTTTTTTAAGCAATCTTGTATTTTATATATTTAACTTATTCTTAAATAGCCACTTCTCTTCTTCCTTTACTGTCTTTCAGTTTCCTCTTCCATGTTATCCTTTTTTAAATTGTTCTCTCCTAATTTTTTCTCTACTAAAAAAAATCCTTCTCTTCTTCTTGGTTTACTTAAAACCATTTTTTCCTCCTCTTTCCTGACCCTCTTTTCTGACCCTTTGTTCCAATAAAACACAAGTAAACTATTCCTCTTTCTTTAAAGACCTCCCCCACCCCACCCCACCCCCACCAACAGAGCAGCAGTTCGGTGTAATGGTCATATAATAAAACTGACAGCAGAACAGTCAATAAAGCCAGATGAGGCAATTACGCAAACTACTTCTTGATAGAGGAGCTAGGTAGCACCACAGACGCAGACACTGATATGTCTGTGATAGTGCCAAATGTAGTTTATTATATTTCAGGATACTTTTCTTGTGCACTCCATTTATATGTATGGGAGTAGAATAAATATTAAAAACACCTCTCAGTATAAGGCAACACAATTTAACAGCACTACAAGCTACAGCGTCCAAAAATGACCATTAAGTTCTTTCTCTCTAAAACACTTTCCTCTCTACAGAGTGAGCGTCCTGTCATTCATTCCATGTCTGGTGTTAAAACTCACCTAGGAAGGTGTTGGCAATGAACTCTGACACCTGATTCCCTGAGCGGCTGGTCTCTGATAGCTGCGTCAGCTCGCGGTTCAGCATCCTTTTGAACTGCACAGACACAACAAAACCATAAACAAATAGTGAGGTAAGCCAGTGTAGGACTGCAGATACATGTGGTAAAATACATGCACTAATAAGATGCATGTTTAAACATTTATCATTATAACAGTAAACTTAATTGTGATACCTCTATATAACAGAACACATAAGACCATGGTGGAGGTATTTTGTGTCAACAAACCAAGACCAATATAAGAAGACAAGCTGCAACATCTCTAACTATGCTGTCTGTCTGCAGACATGCAGGAGAAATTTGCACTGTGGCACCAGTGAAAGTTTTTTAAAAACAGAACTGTTCAGTGTTCCCCCTGAGTTTTATCGCAGCGGTAACTTCCACACTGATTATGTAACGTTGGCACGTGGTGGCTGAGTGAGGAGGGAGGGGATCTGTGTGAGAGAGTGATGCTGCAGTGGCTACTATGTGACACACATATGGGCACAAACAAAAACATACATACTGACACGAAACATAACCCTGTAGCTTTAACAAAGATGTTTCTGTTTATCATCTGATTTGCTTCTCCTGTAGCTTCTCAACACAGTTGCTATCTCTTTCATGCTTTTTCTCAGGATTTACTCTTATATACACACACACACACACGCCATCACATCATTTACAAATAACATATTCCGGCTGCTGTAAACGAAGTCACAGCTCTTAACAATCTGTTTACATTATAAAATCATGACAGCTACTCCTTCTTACATGCATTTCCTTTTTCCCTCTATTTCAGTTTCTCATGCACTCACTCACACACATACATGCACAGACACACACACACAATCTCAACATTCAGCCCTGTTGTGGATCTAGCCCTGAGTCAGATCCAACGGGCACGCTCCCTCAGCATTCAGCTCCCCTGCAAAGCCTGCACTGCCGATCAATACGTCCCAATGTAAACAAGGCAAGCCGGCAGCGCTCCCCATCGCTCACCTGTCTGAGTCTCCAGCACAGACAAATGCAGAGAGCCGACGCAGGCATGTCAACCCACGCATGTTGATGTTAGAGGTCGCTAGAAATCCAAAACGACAAGCAGACAAGTTTGCTTGCTTAGTGACGGGCTTCCCGCTCAGTTTCTACCCCGAGCTCAGCACGGATGACCCCAACATGAAAAGAGGTCTGTTTGTAAATTAAAGTTCCCACCGTCCCATGTGCGGTCCTGGAGGTGAGGAGGGGTCGGAGGGGGAGGGGAGGGGTGGGGAGAGGTGGGGAAGACTGGGGATGTGGTCTACCATCGGGGGAGACTGGGTGTGGACTGCAGTTGCTCATCCAACTACTGTCACACACTGTCAGTGAGAAACATAAAAAGGGAGAGAGGGAGAGCGAGAGGCTGTGAGGAACCCCCCTCCCCCGCCCTGCGCACTAGTCCCCTTCTCAATCCAATCTGATTCGTCTGGCTTTAGGGGCTGGGTGAAGGAGAGGGATCTGATTGGCTGACTGGGTGATGGAAGGGGTTCTGAGAGTAGCAGCCAGACGGTGGAGAGAAGTAGGAAGGAGGGAAGTGAGGAGAAGCTGATTAACTCTTTCAATGGAAAGAGACGCCATTCATGAACCCGAGTGGTTTTGGCCGTGTTCACAGAGCAGCTGCATGTGTCATAACATCTGAACCTCTCCCCTCATGACGTTTCCTAACATGAATAAACAGGAAAAAGCTAAGAGGACTTGCACTGCTCCGGACACATGGACAGGAGCAACACAATCTGATCTCAAAGCATATGACCTGCTTGTGATTCTTTTTTAAGCTAAAAAAGAAGCCATTGTTGTCATGATGAAAACAAACATCTCGAGGCTCAGCTCAGGCAAAATTAGATTGAAAATAAATATATTTTTTTGTAGAAATGACTCCCAAATGAGGACAGCTCTGCTGTTGAAACAGAAGTTCGTTGTGTTTACAGCTGATGCAAGTTTTTACGCACTTACTTTCATCTTAATTTCAGCCAGTGCAAAACAATTTCACTATAATTTCACAGTTCATTATGTCAGTTTTTCTTGACATAGATAACTTTATGTGTTATTTATGGATGTAGACCTTTGATTAAGGGAAGGGAGAGGTAGTGTAAATTGTTGGAGAATAAGTGAATATATGGCATGTAATTAGTTTCAGGTTGTTTTCATATAGGTTACAATTGATTCGTACCAGGCCTGAGTACCATTGTCCCCCTTCTCCTCTCCCGTTCTGCTCAGCTTTCACATTGTAATGTTTTTCTGTACCCGAGTACACCTGCATCACCATCTACGACACATTTTTGTTTTGCTCTAGTGTAGAAAAAAGCGGCGCAGACGGACACTGCTGCCCCAGGCACCATCATCATCAAGGACTGGTGGAGCAGCAAGGTGAGACTCTGCTCCTGGCCGGAGTTTCGACTCAGGCTGAGCGTAGGAGCGAAACCAGATCTAGGTCTAACTGCGGTGGGCTGTGTTGCTGTCTGATATAGAGGCATCAATGTTAATTTGAGACTGTTCCATAACCAATTAAAAACTCTTTGTAGTCACTTAAAACAGCAGTCCACTTCCGTGTTTTATTAGTACTTGTTCACACACAATGCATACTGTACTGGAGTAGATGTGAATTGTACTCTGGACCACCTTTTCATGTGGACAGATGGATGAACCATGCCTGCATACCGTACACAGTGTTCACACTACTCAAATGAACTGGGCTTTGGGGTCAAGTGTACTCAGATCCTAGCTTGGGTCCCTGATGTAAAAGCCACTTAGGACAGTATGATTACAGGACTCCACCTCTATATGAATTTGGGCTTTTGGAGCCTCAGTGAAAATGCGATTTGCACCATCTGATAAAGGTCACATAGTTTGTCAAGCCAAATGTCGTATGATGGATGATCAGCTTTCAACCACCTAAACAGAAATACATTATCCACATTTGTCCACATGCACCTCCTAAGATCTGTAATGAAATGTTTTGAGACAACTTCACTGATCCATTCTTTAAGAGTATCTAGAGAGAGAGAGAGAGAGAGAGAGAGAGAGAGAGAGAGAGAGAGAGACATGTCCTCTCACCTTATTGGATGCCATCTCGCTGACTGAGTGTCTCGTCTGCAGCGTCTCCAGCTGGTCCAGACACCAGTCCAGCTCTTCCAGTGTCTCCACCGCCAGCTTCTGGTAGGGCTCCTCTGAAAGGTCAGAGGTCACACAAACACGTTATACGTCAGACTGCTATGAAAACATCCACATGCACATGTTTTGGTTAAAAACAGAGCCATGAGGTGTTCTGTGTTTATGCTTGTGTTTACATTTATCAAAAGCAACAGCATAAATCCATTAAAAGGTCAAACTCTTTAACAAGTCATGTTCAGTAATATAGTACATCATTTTCATAGAAACACAATGACATGAAAGTGTCTGCAGTTCGTCCCACTATACAGAGATATTAACACTGACCTGTGAGACATGGTTTACACATAGATGGCTGGTTGCTGCTCGACGGCCGCCTGGAACAAGGAACAGATGAGGTGTTAGTAGAATAAGAAGAAAACAAGCAGTTAGTCATCCAGTCTGTTTTTCTTGGTCTTACTTGTTTGTCACACGATCTTGCAGATGGGTCAGAACAGCAAAGTTACTTCTCACTGTTCGTAGACTAGCAAGAACCTAAAAGGGTAAAAACAGAAGTCTGAGTGCTGGAGGTGTGTGAATGGGTCTGGACGGAGACAACCAACACATGTCCACACTTCGCGTAACGTAAAGACTAGCTGAAACCTACAAAGGATGGACAAACCACACATAAAGATTGTTTTGACCAACTTGGAGCACAAATGACTAAATGACTGGATGTACTCGTGCCGGCAGATCCTGTGAGAGCGCTAATATGTTGCATGTCCTTGGTCCAAAACAAACATGGACAGCAACCAGCAGCTTACACTGTTTATATGCAGTGCAATATGCAATCAGTGTGGGTAAAAGCTTTTCTGTACGGTCGCTTTTGAGGCAGTGGTATCTAAATGTGTTGGTCTTTGCTCGAGCTCAAGCTTTAAAATTGTACTTCAATACTGTCTTGTAATGCAGCACTGAAAACATGTAGAATAATATCACTTTGTACAGTAAATTAGTTTAAAGTGGAAACAGACGACTTTTCAACACAACTTTTAAACGCCAATGGTGCCATTATCCTACAGCCATAACACTGTGCATTACATATTTACTTCATAAGGATAAGTTAAAGCAAAACACTTGTCTATTTCCACTTTAATATCCAACTGCAGGTGGACCAAAAGAAAATTTTAGACATTGGTTTGGAAGTATAACACGTACACAGATTGTGTTAATAATGGGCGAACGCTGAAGCACATAAACACACACATAATCAGAGCAAGCTGTTCAATACAAAGTGTGTGTGTGGGTGTTTTCTGTGAAAAATGAACCATCTCTTATTCCTCAAACCGGTGAGTAAGGACCAGAATGTTTGTGCTCAATCATGCTCAACGCTAAAAGCCAATACTCTTAAACCCACCGCTACAGACCAAATACAGTACAGTAGCCAGCATCAAGTAACATTACATGAACCCCCCCCCCCCCCCCTTTTTTTGTCACATTCAAACTTTTGTGATTGTGTGATTGCTTTGTTAATAAATCTTCAGTAGATATAATTAGTGCCTTAAAAGAAATCTGTGTCCTTCCCAGTTTGTCAGAGCAGGACCAACAGGAGTTTCTGAGCTAGGATATCGCAATAAAAATTAAATACCATATACAGTCAATCCTAACAGGCACACTATGGACAGCATCTGGTGCTGACATAATGTTTTTACTACCCACATTTATTCAGGAGGTGCTGACACTGATTGTATCAGCTGGACTAATGAATCCACCCAATGAATAAATGAAGTTGGCTAATGTGGTTACTGTGTATTGCAGCAATGAGCTACCATCCCGGTCAGGACTCCACTGAAGCTTCACTGACACCGAAAGTTTAAACAACATTATAATCAGTTTTAGATAAGTTTTAGATAAAATAATTCCAAACTTTTGACCCCTGTTGTACACATTGTCAGTTTGCACCTCTCATCAAATCAATGCTGGGAAATAGTGGATTGGGATTCTGTATATTTTTGCCAGTACATTTTTGGACATTCACGTTTCACAAAACCAACTATACGCAAAGCTACTAACCTGTGCAAACGGAGTCACTATCATGTCTTCTCCATGCCTGCGAAAACCACAGACAAACACAAACAGACATCCAATGAAAAAGCTGTGTGATACAAAAAAACTCTTAACACAAACACGCCAACAATGACAACAAATGTGTTTGTTTGTTGTCATCATCTTAATGTGGGGATTGTAAAGGAGGAGTAAGGGGTACAGTTCCCATAGTTGGTCTGAAATATCACACTGGACATAAGGAGAGGGGATTTTTCTAGTTATACAAACATTTCTTAGAGGCAAAGATGCAGGTTACAGTTAACCCTCGGAGCCAAGGAACTACTGCTTCAAATTTAGTTTCAACACACATGAGGTGAGAGAGGAGAAAGACAAAGACTAACACTCATTACTGGCAAGGGAATATTTATCATTACTGCATCTACCCATTGAGGTATAACTTAACCAGTCACAATAAACCTGCATTAAGTGATGTTTTTAGGAATAAATGACTGAAATGATACATTTGTAGCCCATTTTTTGGGGTCTCTGGCCTCAAGGTTCTTATTAGGTTTGCCATATAGAACCACTGACTGATATTTCCAGTAATCAAGCTCATAGAAGCTGAGTGTCTGCTGCTACCTGTCCAATATGTGGTCCAATAAACAGTGATTGGTAAATTGGTTGGTGGAGCTCAAAGGTTAGTGAATATTAAAATTACTGTCACTGGCTGATAAGAAACTTGTCTCTATTAGGATGCTGTTGCTAATGTCGGCAAATATTTGCTAATTAGTCATTAACATAATTAATCATTAATCCTAACAACTCAATAGCCCAGTGTCAGGCCCATGTTTCTACAAATATCTATAATCACTTAATGTAGATTTAATTTTGTTCTAAGCCTCCAAGATATATATTTGTATAACTGGTATTATGTGCAGGTGAGGAGCAGTGTTCGTGCATCAGCTGGGTGCTGGGTAAACAACCTTTGGACAACTTTTGAAGAGGTGGAGGTTTCTGAAAGTTTAAGGGTCTCAACATGCACCTCACAACCATTCAGACTTGAGGGTAAATTCATGCTGCCAGTGAAAAGTACAGGTTCAAAGTCAGCCTGTCCAGCAAACATTTTGACGTTGAATAACTTCAGCTACTGTATGACAGCCTGTGCACATTGGTTCTCACAGTTTTGTAAAATCAAAGCCTAAATATCAGACAGCCTTTTCATCAAATTAGCAAATGGTTGTACTTGTGATACCAAATCACCATCTGTCAAATGCTTGCTGGGACTGTTTCAAAAACTTTGCAGGGGTGATCATATTCGAGTTGAGCATCCAAGGCATTTTCTTCAGGTCTTGGTCAGGGAAAGGTGGTGTATAAGTGGGGTGGTAGGAGGGGAGGTGGAGGGGGTAATAGGTTTGGATCATAACAACAGAAGAGATGGACAGAAAGGTCACAGCAGTCTTCACACTTTGTCTCACCGAGGTAGCCAATTGACTTCCCAATGCTTCAATCCCTCCTCCCTTCAAAACAAAGGAGCGACAGCTATTGGTGGTCGAGGCCCCATTTACACTCTGGCTTCAAAGAGACTGCTAGCTGTACAGAAAAATCTTTAGCTGTATAAACAGGTAGAAACTGGATGAAAAACTAGTTCCCAGATAAGATTATAGCTTCAGCGTTAGTTGTACATACTAACTGAACTTGACTGATGTTCATGCTGACAAACATGAGCTCTGCTACCAAAAGCCTCTTTAAAGCCAGGTGCCAAATATGCACTTTTTTGGACATGAGTAAATACAGACAATAAATTCCAGTGTTTCCCTTCCTCTACTGTAACAGTAGTGATTCACTCCATGTGATTTGATGCTATTTACTGTATGTTTTATATACTGTATGGATCAAATGAGGGCAAGAAACACAAAATCTATTTCTTTCCCACATGAAAGAGTTACAATTGAGGGCGTCAGAATTTACTTCATGTATCCCACTGTCACAAAAATTTATGTGGAGGCACACTACTACTGAGTGACATGGGAAACATGGAGATTAAGTGGTTTTTTTGGTATCCAGCACCTAGTCTGGACCTAGATAAAAAAAAACAATCTTACATAAACACATCTTTAAACACTGTCAAACTATTGGCTCTTTCAAGCCTTACATTGTTTTAAGATAGTTCGTAGCTGTTTCTCCTGGAAGAACGGTCATTTATTCTTTGCGCTGTGAAGCAAACCAATAGATTTCCCTCCAAATCAGTGACCCCACACTGTCAAATTGAACATGAAGTAGTTAAAATACTCACAGGTCGCTGGCAGTGGACGAGTTGCGGGACATGGTTTTGGGAGAAAGGTCGAAGTCTGAGTCGGAGCGGTAGAGGAAGGACTCACGGCGCTGACTGTGGGGGAAGTTGGCCTGAAGTACCAGACCAGAACCCGGGCTAGTCTGAGAGTCCAGTGGACTGCGTCCCACCGACAGGCCATTCTCCACATCAAAACTACAGAGAGAGAGAGAAAAAGACAAAATACATAAATACTACTGTTACAGTGTCTATTGTTTCCACCTGCTACTGAGCCAGAGTGCTATTTTGTTTCACTTCATTAGTCCTTTAATTCAATTATTGTGGGTAGTCTGGGATCAGGCTACCTGTAAATATCACTACTGTTTTAATGCAACTAATGCAACAATTACTACTACAATTACTGTCAGTAGTACCACTACTATTACTGCTGATGCTACTGAACTTAATTTGCATACCTCAATGACTTAAAGCACAACTTCACTCACAAAATGACCATTTGTATATCAATTACTCACCCCATGTTACGTCTAATTTGTGAAAAAACAACAACTGTTGTTTGTTTGGTTTCTTTTTTGCATGCTTCAACGATAAATGAAGAATCCAAAAATGAAGAAAATTCAAAGGGGACCACATTTAACAACAGCAAAACTTTATCAATTCAAGGAACACAGGGTGAGTAACTGACATGCAAATGGTCATTTAGTGGAAGAAGTATTCAAGTATTCAACAAGGATACTGAGAGAAAGAATAAAATAGAAAGTGCTGGACTGGGTCAAGACCCTTGGTGTACATGATCATGAAAAATCAGGTGCTCTTCAAGGATAGGGCAAGTAGTCACATAAGAGTAAAAAGCAATGACTGTCTTTCTTAGTGTGACATTCCTTAGTGTGGGCCATTAATCTATGCATTATATACATATCCATGGGCTTTTAACTAAAGTTTGAATGCCTCAGATACATTTTGGACTGCCAGCCCATGCCATGGACTTTCACACTAAGTAAGTTGGACAGTCATTGCTTTTTATTCTCATGATGCCGATAGAATATTTCGCTATCGCTATTCAACAGGTACTATGGCAGAGTTGTCTCGTCTTTCAGCAAGTAGCGGAGGTATTAACAGTGCCAAATCTACGTCTTTGTAAAAGGGACAACTGGCAGGACAGGAGCATGGACGGGATGGGTCTGACATTTTGATGACGTGTTGTGTGTGTGACCAACCATCAGGAGATTTCAAAGCAGCTTGTAGCAGTTACCAGCTAACTCAGAGAAGAAGAACAGCAACCGAAAATGTCCACAAATTGGGAATACAATGAGATCAGGGAGCTCCTTACCCTTCAAACAGAGGACGAGATCTGCCGCCACTTAACAAGGACTATAAATGATTATTAATCGCCTTGTTAATGCCATTGTTATTGTTTAGGAAGTGCTGCCAATGTATATGCTATATATCACACTAGAGGCAGACGCTGTTGTGTTAAAATGTCACGCCCATCATGCTTCTTTTGCTTGTGCAATGCTGGCACGCTGTCTAAAATCACACAATAGAGTGGCTTGACGCTGCCGTTATTTGGTTCTGCGACAAAGTGAAAGGCAGCATAAAGACGGGACTTCTTAATGGCCCTATGGCGTGATCTCTGTGTAAAAAGGGCTATTGACTGGGGTCATTTCTCAGCTTTACATCCAAACCTTGTGACACCCAAACAATCTGACACTAATATAAAACAGCTCCTGTAGCTGCTGGAGACATATACATGGAAACAGTAAAAACAAAGATAAGATAAGGATAAGACAAAGCTAAGATAAACCACATATCATAAAAGCCATGCAGTGTAAGTGTGAGTGGAGCTAAAAGTACAGAAGGCTGTGTGTCCAAATATCAAATGTTTCTGAAATGCAGCAGCATGTTTGCTGAGACAAAACTATCACAGTGAAGTCAGTGACAGCAGAAATAAGGCAGTTAAAATTAAAAAAGGACACAAGAACAGGATATGAATATTAATCTGACGGTATGAAAAATCCTCAACAGCAAGAAGACAGCAATGTCTACATGCTGTAAAAAGGACAAAAACGTTAGATTCAATTTTTCCACCCTGATTGTGAGCATCGTTTCCAACAGGTGACCTTGTGATTACTCACTTTTCGCAAACACACACTCACACACCTCTTTTCCTCCGCTATCTCCACATGACGTCAACACTGACTTCACGCGTGGTACGTCAGTAGAGCTGCTTACCCATAAAAACCCCCCCGCCACTCCCGCTATCACCCCATCGCAGCCACCACACTGAAAGGCACCCCTATGACTGAACAAAGTTCTTTAACGTCTACGAGCATCCTTTTTTAAATTTGGATTTCATTGGTATGATCAAAATGAAATTGTATTTCTATTAATCTGCCTTTTTTTGGCCAGCTGGATGCAGCAAGACTCTACCCTGATTTAATACCTTTGAAATCCTTCCAGTCACGATGAGGTCAGTCTGCAGGGTCTGAATTAGAGGGTTTGGTATCACAAACATTCACACAACAAATTCTCTTTATCCCAAAATTTCCTTTGAACCAAATTAGTGAAGTAACCACTAAGAAGCACAGAAGATGAACAAGGAGGGGCAGAAGAGATCTTGACTTTAAGTTTTTGTCTGAGCACACAGAGGGGGTGATACGATAGTGAAAGATTAACGCTTTTCTTCATGGAAAGTGTCCTAAGCATCTTTTTTCAGCCTCACCACGGTTTACATTTCTTTAGCAGGGCTATGCCTTGCTCAAACTTCACTCTTTTTAAGACTGAAACCAGTGACCTTTTGGTCACAACTATTCTTTTCTTCTCTGACCTGAACTCTAACACAAAATATCTTCCACATTACTGCATTAGAAGACACAAATTTTCTGTGATTAAAGTTAGATTTTAATGTATCAGTATGTGGATACTTGAGTTGTAATTTGAAGGTATTCGTGTGTATTTTTTACCAGTTAGGTCCATTGTTATCTGCTGTAACTCCCCCCTCCTTCCCTGGTCATGACAATAGAAAACAGAGCACCAACAGAGCACTGGAAGGTTGCTTCTGTGTGTATTTTTAGCTCAGCCTGCCTCCAGCGCTCCAGCAATAGCATTGCCTGATAAATGAAAGATGGCTATTATGCAATCGATGCTGAATGAAAGACCCAATTCACAGAAGCAGAGAGAGACAGACAGGAGGAGGAGGAGGAGGAGGTGGGGGTGATCAGGAAGGCTGTATCCAGCACAGTGATGTGGCTCAGCATCTCACACCTGATTGGTGTGGCATGGCAGAGAGGAGGAGCAGGGCTGCAGCAGGGCTTACCTCAATGATAACACCCCCACCCCACCACTTCACTACACCTCAGCCAACCCCGTTTTACACCCCCCCAACCCCCACCCTGGCTCAGTGTAGTCGGCCGTGACGAGGCTCCATCAGAGGAGACCAGTGACGTCAGAAGCTATAAATAGATCTGCCTGCCAGGAAAGAGGGGAACTGGGAGACTTGTGACGGAGCTTACGTAGATACCCCCCACCCCAGGCAGGGTGCAGATGATTTCTCTCCTCCTCATGAATACATACATGAAGTATTTTCTTTTGCATTTTGATTGGTTGAGTGCCTCTAGAAGACTCCAAGTAGACCTCAAGACCATAGTATTTTCTCTCCAGTTCTTAAACTTGAGACTTTCTTTTTATTGTTTATTCAGATAAATCTGAGTGAGCAGGTAGGATGCTGAGGCATGTTGCTCAAGGACGCTCTGACAGTGTCCATGGCTCCTGCCAAGACTGAACACAGTCAGATGGTATTTACTGCTACTTAGTTATGTCCTTGAAGCAGTAAAACATGACTTTAAAATGTCTTTCAAATTCAAATTCAGCTTACACTTTTATTGATGTGTCATATCTGTAGTTTTTACATCCTCAGCAATATCTGACCTCACTTTTTTCTTGTGTGAGAAAAACCATCATGGGACACTAAATCTTTCCACTGAAACACAGACTTGTACATTTTGGTATTAGCATCTCAAAGTCACCTGCCACCTCTATTTATTTATATTAATTACCAGCTTTTAATGAAAAAATATCCTGTAAAATATATTAGCAAGCAATGAAATGAGGTTTTCAAGTTGTTATTCTCATCCACCTCTGACACTGACTGGATGACACTGAGATTTAATCAAACACCAACTGAACATGTTGGATTTTCCCTGCTCTTTTAAGGTATAAAATGCAGGATGTCCTACAAAATGTAAGGACTCATACAGAAGTAATCCCTCTCAATCATCACTTATAACCCACTAAAAGTGTATGGTGGTGTATTTATCTGCAGAGAGTCTGCCCTCTGCCTGTACTTTCTTATTTCCCTCTTATTCTGCTGTGATCATGATGTTTGGGACTTAATGAAAAGGTAGCAACCATTTGCCAGACCGTAACTAAGAAGCATGCATCCAAGAAGAAGCTAAATTATAATTATAAGTTCATAAATTAGATAATATAAATTATACATGCTAATTAGAAATCGTAATAATTATAATAAATAATTGTGGACACAGCTCAGACTTATTAAGATTTTTAGTGCTTTTGATGTTGTAAGATTTTCACACATTGATAAACCCCATTGAGCTTTTCAGTGGCTGCAGTTCACCAGAGCTCGCTGTTAGTCAATGGCATTCATTCCCATTCAGAAGTAGCTGACCAGGCTTCTAATAGTAAGACAGCTCCCACTACTGAGGAAAATATGGTACTGCAATGTCCTGTAAACAAGGCTCTGCTCAAAACTTGTCTTTTGTATAATGATCTATCTTTACTGTGTCTATGTGAGTTATTTTTTATCAGTCCTAATGATACTTTCTTTGTAATTTTCATATTATGTACAGCAGGGCTGAAACCAGCTGAACATACTGTGCATTTCATTACTTTCATGTAAAGTAATCCAGTTGTACTTTATGATTTTTTTTTCCTCCCTTCACAAGAATAACAGAGTAGTATTGGACAGACAATGGATGGCTCCTTGAGGACATATTTGGTTTCTGCTGCAAAAAAGAAAAATAATGTAACTTTTAGAGCAAATGTAAAGGCTATTAATCAAGGCTGGACAAATATTAAGTTTTTTAATTACAAGCTGTTATGTAAAATATAAATGACACTGTAGCTAGAGCCCAACCAGTCTGAGTTTCTACAGTTGATAACAATATTTCCAGATG